ACGATTCGTTTGATAGATATGATAAATGTGCACTTAAAAAAATCAATGTGTTTTTGCACCGATTATTGCTCTAGTTTTTGACACATCCATGGATTTATTTCGAAATAAATTTTAATCCATTCAAAAATGTTTTTCTTTTTATTTTTATTTTTTAACATTATAAATTTGTAAAATAAATTTAAATATTTATCTTTTAGAGCTATAATAACTGATAATCCTTAGATTTATTAAGATTATAAAAATAAAAAATAATTTTAAGAATTTAATAGAAAATTGTTGTGATAGTATTCAACAGAATGTGAATAAAAAATAAAGTGTAGACAGATATATACTGCTTTGATTTCGGAAGTCTCAAATGTAATTTTTTTAATTTTCTCTCAGTGTGGCTGACGTTAACTGTGCAACCAGCGATAACCGAAGTCTTGCTTGTTTTGCGCTCAGCCCAGCGGCATCGAGAGAGTTGCGTGTTTATTTTTTTCACCTCAGACCCACTCCAACTCCCAATTTCTTTTCTTTTTTGTCACTTTCAGCTATCGGTGGGTGGATGAGTGGGTGGAGCTTTCGGATGTATGTCGCCGAAAAGAGGAGTGGAAGTGTATTAAAGAAACATCTGGCAGACCGCCCTTTTCCGGCCTGGGGCAACGCCTTTTTTCTCAGCCTGCTTAAATTTAATTTAAAGGCTCAAAGCCGGACAAACAAGTGCTAAGAGAATCAGGGGCGTTGGCCCTATTTATGGGCGTGGCTGCTGCGGCATTGACACAGCATCGACATGAGAAATTAGCGTGACCAGGCCTTAATTGTGGGCCTAAGATTGGGGTGGGCTTTTGTTGGCCAACTTGGGCCTCGAAATCCGCTCAAGATTCAGTGTAAACAGGCCGCAAGTCGAAAGTTTGCCCAGACCACTCGAATATTCGGGGGCATCAAGGGGTTAAGACCTTTGTTGCAACCCCTGGCTCCAAAAAGGACCTTTGTCAGATTTAAACACTTTCGGACACTTGAGCTTGGCCCCGTTATTGAGACTTCACTTTAAATTAACATAATTTCTCCTTTTCTATTTTAGATTTTTTACTTTTTTTAGCCGGAGACCCTTCGATCGTAATAGAAAGTAATGCGCTTTGTATTTCGACCCGATGATGATTATTATAAGTTTCGTTTTGGTGGCCCTTTTTATTGCTCAACCTGGGTCCGTCCATTAACCGAAATGAGTGCAATTCAAAATAATACCCGAGGACCCAACTGGGATGACACTTTTAACGAAAACCAGAAACTTTCCCTCCCAGCAGGACATTGCCGCTGATTGTTTTGCAAAGATTCTGATTCGCACCCGGGATTTTGGGGCTTCGTATGGGGATCCGTTGAACGGCAACTTTGGTCGGCCAAAAATCATAAATCTTTTTAATTTCATTGATCAAGTTTGGCCGGCAAAACTTTTGCCTGCCCCAAGGAAAGTTTCGCACTCGACTCCCTTAGGACATATTTTGCCTGACATTTAAATCGATGGCAGATAAATATTAAACTTAAACTTCCAATTCATTGCTGCAAAATTATGTGTTGGTCGAGATGCCGTTTTTTATTCGCATGACGGAGCAGCAATAAAAAATCATATTTAATGGGGGACAACATCTTTGATGCACGCCGCAGGGGGTAAAGAAAAACATGGCGGAACCGGCAAATAAATAAATGCCATCGAATAAACAATGGAAGAATGGCAATTGGGTATAGTTGCGGCTCCCACGGAAGTCAGATAAGGAAGCTTATAAATTGGGACAAAAGTGGACAGTGATTGGAAAAATTAATGGGGCATGCGGTCTACCCGAAAAAGTAACTCATCGGCGGTACTTATGAAGTTAAAGTAAGTGCGGAAAGTAGGTAACATAGTTTTTCTTTAAATTGTAAGATCTAACCTTACATCAAACTAATTCATAGCACATGTGAACCACTAAATGTTGCCCCTTGAGGGTTTAACTTTTATTTGATCAATAACAAATGAAATATTCTTAATACCAATGAAGAGACATTTTATATTATTATCTGAAACATTAATTTAGTGTGTTCAACCTTTTTCATCTAATCCCATTGAATTAATCAATTCCAATGTATACCACCTAAGGCTTTTAACATTAAATATCTAATGATTTATTGATGCAATTATTTATTGTTATCTCTTTAGAATAATTGATTTATTTTAAAAGAGATTTTCTGTTATTTAACTATTATTTTTATTTTATTTATCCAAAAAAGTATCCATTCAACACTTACAGCATGGTAAAAATGTGTAGTTTTTTAATAAAATAAAATAAGTTCCCTATTCGTCTTCAAGAAGTAAGGGTCAACTTTTGAGGAACATGCCCCAGCTTACATACTCCCACTCGTTAATAAGTTTTCATGCTGTGCCGGAACAGCATCCTCACTTGTTCCTGTAAATAAGTTTTCAGAAAATGTTTGCGCAGTATGCAAAACTTTTTGATTGTGGCAATCGTACCTTGGGCGCAGCTCAGGTGTATTCCGGATCTGCGATTGCGGAATTGATTTAAGGACTTCATAAATAGTGCAGCAATGAGTAATGAATATCGCTGATTTTCCTTTGAATATGGAGCTCAACGAGCGAGATGCAATAAATCCATTGGATGAGTTTCAAAGGGATAGTCCTTGCAATCCTTCCATTCAAGAGGGATTTAATATATACAATATTCACAATGAGAATGCCTGTTTCTTTCTCTCGTCGAATAGCATTTCCATGCCTTTCTGGCGCTCATTTAAGAAATATTTAATTTCGAGAAAATGAATTATAAATGCAATTTGCAGTCAGCTCTATTTCTTGTTCCGTTCCCGCCTTACTTATGATGCGTCTTTGTCCTCCGATGGCCTGGGCAGAGAATTAATTACGAAGCTGAAAGTTGATGCCCGCCATAGATGCGGATGCGGATGCGGAAGCCCTTGTGCCAATGCGACCACAACTGACCCAGTTGTTTAATTGAATTGAAGCCATAAACACTTGGAGTAGGACGACCGCAGCAACCACACAAAACGGGAGTGAGCGCGTCGGGAATGAAAAATGGCCCCGGCCAGGAGCACTCGCTAAATAACTTTAATTAGTAGTGCGAATGCGGCCATCAATCACCTTTGCGAGAGCAAGAGCGAGAGAGCCAGCGGAAACGGAAATGGCAAGCGGAAACGCCAGCGGAAGCCACGTGGCCATTGCTTAGCATTTTGACAGCTGTGCCTGTCGCTTTTGCAACAAAGCACACACACACTTGCATGCACTGCGCGAAAAAGTAACGTCCCCAATCTGATTATATATTTTTATAAGATAACTATTTTAAATTTAATTATTTCTACTCCGGATTTCCCATTAAACTAATAATCTTATATATTTTTGAAAGCCATATAACCCATTTTAAATTCTATAAAAATGAATTAAGCGTTTAAATCCTTTATTATTTAAACAAAAAACTAAAAAGACAACTTCAGCAAAATAAAAAGGATTAAATTGGATGTGCTTTTTTTGTTATTAGAATAATCTAAACTAAATGACCATTATGATTGAGTGGAAAACAATTTTGTAAAGTACGTTTTTTTGTCCTCTAAAATTGATTGTTATTGACTTTTTTTTATACACCTTTTTTAGACTGTGAAATTCCAGATTCATATTTTTTTCTCAATGCACACATGCAGTGAGATGTGTTACGAAAATTAAAGAAATTCGAGAAAGCAAGGAATTAATCAAATTGCAAATTTCATCAGCGTGGCAAAAAACAAGCGCAGATGTGGCGAGCTGAGGAGATGGCGCTTCCAGTGAGTGCCAGGCAAAGTTGTTGACATCTTCTGAGCCAACACGTACCGCCGGCACCAACAAAAACACACAAAAAGTAGTAAACACTTGACGGGAGCAGCAGAAACAACACGAACAAACAGACACTAGTGCCAAAGAGAAGGCAAGACCGGAGCTACAGCAAATGTTTGCTTAAAAATGATGCGAGCCCCACGAAAAGAAGAATTTCGGGACGGGAAGGGATGAGTTTTGGATGGGACGGATGCTTATTCTGCTCCTGACAGATGCAAGACGCGTTGACAGTGACAAAGACAATGATGACGATGATGGTTATGTTGGGGCTTATCATGGTGGTGTGGGGTTGTGGGGATGCGGGGATGGAGGCCAGCATTTGGCATAATCCTGCTGACAAAATGTCATTACACCATCTACATAGTGAAGTTGCCTTTTGAAGTTTTTTGAGCAGGGGGGCACTGCAAGCTTAAATAAATAAATACGCTTCCCGCTGACAGCAAAAGTTGTAATGAAGTCGGGGTATCTCATTGTAAGTTAAATAAGTTTTCAAGAAATATTGGCGTAAATTACAGTCGCATTTAAGCAACTCTCCGTTAATTTTAAAAATGCTATCCATTCATTGAAAAAACAGTATATTCAAATATTATTAAGTATTTTATTCCATTGTTAATATTTTATAGTTCAACAACAGATTAACACAACAGGAAATTGATAATAAGATTACCTAAAATTGTGTTATGTATTTTATGATTATTCCTTTAAGTTTGTTTTTAAAGTTTTTATTAAAAACAAGGAAAAAAAGTTTTAAGCCAGTGGACAATTTTTGAAAAAATAATTATAATGTTAAGAGCAATGATATTATTTTGATCGTTAAATGCCTTTCATTACAAAGGAGAGATCCCTAACATAATGGATCAGTTTTTAAACATTTTAAGAAATGTGTTTCACTAAATTTGTTTGCAACTTGTTAGGAGTTTCCAAAATATAGCAAAAGTTGATCTGAGCGAGAAATGATACATTAAAAGATGTGTTACTTGGATACTCCTTAATAAGTTCTGAGAAAATCCCAGAAAATCCCATAAATTACTAGAGATTACTTTGACACCAAAAATAATGATTAAAAAACTCTAAAGTAAAAATGAATTAAATACAGTTTTGGTTAATACGATGTGGTAGTGTACCTATTGGTCTAATTCCGCCCCAGTTGACTTACCGTAAATTTCGGAAGTAGTCCCTGTGTCGGAGTCTGTTTCGGCTAGAGTTATTCCACTTTCCCCAAGAATCGGCAGTCACGCGAGTGGCCCAGTCATTGACAAATGGCCAGGGAGCTCAGCTGCTATTGTTTTATTTTTATTTTATTTTATTTCTCTACGTTTCCAGAGCACTTTTGCAGCGTTTTCCCCGCATCCACGCGAATTGGCCTAGTTTGTCTAGTATTTGGTGTTGTCTCTCGGTTCGGTGTTGGGTTTTCCGTGTGTTTCGTAGGCCTAAGCCTCCTCTCCGGCTGCAGTTTTGAGTTACTTGGCACTTGTCTAATGCTTTTGTCTGCTTTTCTTCTGCTTTTCTTATGCTTTTTTCATGCTTTTCAGCCAGACGGGCGACGTAGTGTCTTCGCTTGCACTTGAGGAACCGAATGTGTGTGGGTTTTTTGGTGTGGTTGAATTAGCGAGTGAGACACGAACTTTTGACCCCGTTTCGACAATAACAACACGAGAAGAGCAGAGGCTTGGCTTCTATTCTCCGGCTTTTTGAACCGTTGGCCGGCTTTTTGGCTTTTCAACACTGAATGCGTTTACAGTTATGTCCGTGACTGTTTTTGTGTAGCACGGAGTGTTTAAATTAAGGCTTTATTGATTTGGCAGGGCGTTATAGCCAAGCCATTTCCGATTTGATTTGTTTTACCAATCAACTTTATTTGTATCTCCTAAAATGAGTGGATTTACCGTTTACATTTCACATTTAGCTTTTTAAGACTAAATACGTTTGCAGTTACATATGTTTCTGATAATTTTTGGGGTCTTACAAATTGTTTGAATTTATGGATTTTCCGCCTTGTTTATTGATTTAGCAGCGACTTATCGGTACAATTATAACAAACTGTAGTAATTTGCCGTTAGCAGTTTTACTTATTATAACCACTTTCTCCTAAAAAGAGCGGAACTTCCGTTAAGGTTTTTAGCACTTTTCACTATTATAGCTTAAGTTTTGCGCACGTTTTACGTAGCTAGTCGAAAACTTATTAAACACCCGTGAACATGACGTTTTTGCTCAGCCAGCGCCTCACGAACTGAACTCAAAAACTGCGAAAATACGCGAAAAGCCAGCATCTCAGCTCAGCTGTGATTACGGTACTTTCTCTCTAGAGTGCTCTCTTTTTGGCGCCATCCGGAAAAGTACCGTTCTCCACGTGGCAAGCGAACAGCTGTTGCCGCATATGTCCCACTGATCATGCGCAAAGGCAGCTTTCTGGGAAAAATGGGAAAATTTCAAAGCTCTTTTACTGGAAAATAGCGAATGTGAGAACAGTTTTCCTTAACCATAACATTTTTTCCACCAACGCTTCTCCTACAACTTGATAGCGCACCAAAATGGAACCCAAAAGTTGGCGCGAAAGTCAACACTTCATACATAAAGACATCTTTCCGCCTGGCCAACTTTTGGGGCCAACAAACTTTTCGCATTACCAAAAGCACACATTTTTTAACCCACACTTGGCATCAATTTACCCTAGCAATGGGTTAAGAGAAAGGAATCATTCCTAGAATTCAAAAATTTATTTACCGTAGGTGAATAATGAGATTGGGAAATATAAAATGTGTGTTTGTTATTACCCCAAAAACACAACAACAAACATTTAAAAAAATTGTCATCGCAAAACAAAAAATTTTTTTTTAATTTGAAAAGGTGTTCTTTTATGATTAATTTCTCAAGTAAATTTTAAATTTTGAACATTTAAATTATAGTGGTGTTTATTTATGTGTATATAGTTATGTATTTCAAAAATATAGTTTACTAAAAAATTATTAAATTAATTGATTTTGATTTGTTACATTTGAAGTAGAAATTACATTTGCAAAAATTTGTTAGTTGTCATGTAATAACTAATTTTTAAATTTTTTCAGTATTTTTGTATTTATAGAAAATAAATCTTGTAAAATGACAAAATGTAAAATATAAATTATGAAACGGCGATGGTAAACAAAAGTGTTTTTTCGAAACCCATAGCTGTTGTAAAAATAACACGTTTTTGTCATTACTTCTGTTTTAATTTTAGTTACGTTTTATCAGTTAATTAATTACAAAACCCTAATGCATAAAAATGCAAAAAAACGTCGAAACCCGCATGCGCCGGCAGCGAATTGGTTCAGCAACAATGGCCATCGTGACCACTGTGGTTGTGCGAGTGACCATGTCCGCTGGATCTGTGGGCTACCTTCTCCTCCTCATCGCCCGCCTGCTTAGAAGACTTGGCCTGATCTTCGTCAGCAAACTCGCTGAGGTCGCGCCGCATGGCGTAGGCATCCTCGCCATCGGCATAGTACTTGGGCTCCACCTCGATGATCTTGAACTTGAGGGCGTTGGTGTAGAGGTTCAGGGCAGCCCGGTTGCTCTTTCTCACGTGCAGCGAGACATACTGGGCATTGAAGCACTCGACCATGGCCTGGGAGGCCTGGTTCATGAGCTTCTGGGCCAGGCCTAGTCGCCGATAGGAACGTTTAACGGCCAGCGAAGTGATGTGCCCGTGGCGGCTCTCCTCGTTTGGTTCCGGCTCCTCCATCTTGGCCAGGACATAGCCCACAATGCCGCCCTTGTCGTCCTCGGCCACGTAACTGAGCTGAGGCCAGGTGAGCCCATGGTAGAAGTAGTACTTCATTTGGTAGTTCTCCGGCAGGCACAGCAGATTGCAGTGCTGCATGGTCATTAGGTCCTCCGGTTTGGCGCAGCGGATGTTCATGGTGGGGCTGTAGTTCTCCTTGCTGATCTAGTGGCTTCTAATCTCGGCGAGCTTTCCTAGCCCGGCCCTGCTGTTGCTGAAGATGGTGCTGCTGATTCTGGTGATCCCAAGCGAGTGGCTGCTGCTCCTCTGGCTCCTCCTGACCCAACAATTCCCGTACCAGACGAAATTTCGATAGAAACGCCTTCCAGATGAGGAACCAGCCTGCAATGGGAGTCAGATTTATGGATGAGTTACAGTTCGTAGTACTGAAATTGGATTCCAAGACATTATGATCGTCTGCGCCCGCCTGCTTACCCAACAAAATAATTGCTGCGACGATACTAACAGAGGCTAATATGGTGAAAATGAAAACCAAGCCCGTTTGCAGGGACATTCTAACGGGGAATCTCGAAATCAAGAAACTATTACCATTAAACTACAAAAGTACTTGAAAATAATAATTTAAAACTGCTTGTAAATGGTTAAGGTTCAAGTTTCTAGCAGCGAAATAAATGTGTCTTCCTGATTTTTTTTATGAATAGCTGACTATCACAATAAAGAACAGCTGTCATCCAAGAGTGGCCGTTTTTCAACACTGAATACCAGGGGTGCAACTTTTTGTGCAAAATTGGGAGATAAAGTCAAAAATTAACAAAAGGAAATATATTCAAATTAATCTGTTTAAAACCAGTTGTATAAGCTTTCGAAAAACCAATCAACTGTTTTGTGGGTTCAACTTTTATTTGAAAGTTTTTCAGCACTCGGTAACTTTTGTTGCCACCAAAAACCACATGGGGTTAGAAAATCCACTAAGCAATCTATTGGAACTGTCTTTGACGGCTGATTTATGAACAGGCACATTAGCACATAGCAAACGATACATATTGTCCCGCCACTGGGTAAGTTTTATTTAATATCCACCTGGCTGTTTAATTTATCTATATTCGCGAAAGAGCACACTTCTTGCACACTTACACACCGGCACCAGTATGACCAGTGTCAGCAAAGGAGAGTATGCCAAATTATCCAATTCAAATTCAGAAATAACTTAAATACTAACATTTTTTTAAAAAACTTATTGGAACATTATAATTGATATTTAAAATTATGTTGAAGTGACTAAAAGTATAAACTAGCTTATTAATTTTATTTATTTATTGAATAATTCATTCGTTTGATGGGCTTATTATTTAAATTATTTGTATTTCTATTTGTTTTTTATTTATATCATCCAAAAATACTAAAATATAGATATACCGAAAACTATGACAGTATGTGTGCTGAAACAGCTGTTGATAAATTTTAATTTACCTGGGCAAACATACAAATCGTTTAAGCAAATGCAATTTTTGCATTGAAATTAAACAAAATGCAGGAGTTTTCGGCAAAACGCGATGCATTGTTTGCTTGCCTCGACGATGCAAGTAAAGAATTGAGGGGAACGGCCCTGGATCAGAGCAAGGCCAAGTCGTTAACCATCAACGCTCTCGACCGGGGAAACAAATCCGGAAACTCATCCGGATCCGGACAGGTGATGAACTACCGCGACGGCCGTAGCATTGATGTTAACCTCGATCCGGAGGATGGTCGATTACGGCGGATGCGAGGCAAGGAGAGCATCTTCAAGAAGCCGGAACTGCCGATTGGTCGATGCTTAAAGCCCAGAAAAACTCCAGATTACCAGGTTAGAGATGCTCCTTTCGCCATTAGGAACTCCCATTTAAAACCCCTGATTTACTCCCCAGGTGAACCCCCACAAATGGAAGAAGTACTCCCTGTCGGATGTGGACATCTCCGATCAGAGCAATTCCGCTGCAGCCTTATCTTTTCTCCGGCAAATGGATGCACAACGTGAAGCCGAAGGAGATGATCATAAATCGCACAGTTCAGATGGCAAAATAGAGTTCAAGAAGACTAGCAAACTCAATCGCAATCTCAAGAAGCTTCAGCAGGAGGAGGTGGGGGATGTGGAGCTGGACAAACCCAAGTTGAGAGGCTCCAAACTAGTGATGCCGGAGTATGTAATTGGCCAAAAGCCCCAGAAACAGAAAAAACCCAAGAGCAAGTCGAACCAGAATCGTGCCTCTGGAAAACTTCAACTCTCCCACTTGGCAGAGGAAGAGGAACAGGATGAATAGGTTTCAACTTATGATCTTAAGATTCTATATTTAACAACTAGCGTTCCCATAAAGATTTAAGCATGTAAATAAACTTTTACCATACACAACTGTGTTGTTACCTTTTATAAAACTTTGTGGTTGGTAAAAAATGCCATCGTTTATTTTATAAATCAATTCTAAGACAGACTGGAAAATTGTGTTACATTGTACTTCATTGTTCCATTTCGAATGAAATCGTTCCTATTGTAAATGCACATATCCTAGATCAGAAGGAAAATTGTATTACTTTTAACTTAATTGTTCGGATTTTAAAATCAGTCTATACATAGATTTGCAAAATTTTACAAATTTGTTTACTTAATTGGTTCTTAAACTGGCAGTTATCACGAAGAAATGTATAATTTGTATACCTCCGATTGAGGTAGTCGATGAGCACGTAAAGGAGTATTAAGTATAAATAGACATATATAGCACACGAGCACAAGACACATAATCTAGATAACATAAATAAATGCGACAATACAAACATAAACACGGTTTAAAAATGCAAATATTTAGTCGGGAATGCTTTCATCATGGGCAGTGGCTGCGGCTACTCGATGTAGAAGCCCGGATTAAGGAAGAGTTTCTTGTTGAAGCCGAAATTTTCAGAGGATCCGGTCTGCATGGAACCATCTTTTGTGCGCATGTTACCAACGGATGCATGCGTCATTTTCACAATGTCCTCGACGCTCGTGTTGTGGGCATGCTCGGCCATCATGTCGTAGAACTTCTGGATGTACCAACTGCCCGACCCCGGATCCCTGTGGGTAACAAAGCCCGGTGTATTGGCATAGCAGACCAGAGTGTCCGCGAGCGATGGCTCATTTGTGACGAAGCCCTCCGTCTCGATTTGAGTTTCCTCTTGCTCTGGCGGCATAGACACAGGCGCCGTTGAATCGTATTGACTTTTAGGGTGCCCCTGATCCGCAATTTCACCACGGCAAAATGGGAAGAACAGCACCTTTGGCTTGCGCACCAAATACGGACAGTTTTTCGAATTGAAGTGCTCTTTGATCTTGTACATATCCACCACGGATCCGTCGCAGAATTCTACTTTGTCCTTCTCATCCACGCGGTTTCCATGCGTCATCAGTATCATCATGAAGCACTCGGTGTTCTGGACATACGAAGACGAGGTGACCCGGCCCAGTACATCAAAGAACTGTTTCTGATTCATGTTGCCAAAAGCGAAAACCGTAAAGCCCAACTCGTGGAATAGATGTCTCAACGAGTTGCTGTCCAGCTCAGCTCCATTTCGTTTGCGCTTTGGATCTGGGAAGTCAATGATGTTTACCATAAGCAAAACGCCGCGATTGAAGCGCGATTGCATTTTGTATGTGCCCAACTTGTCATCTGTGTGAATCTTATTTGACTTTATCACTTGGCGCATATCTCCAACGACGGGTTCCAGGTCAGGGGTGAGTGGTCCGAACAGTTCGTCTGAGGGCCTCTAAAGTGCAGAAAATATAAATAAAATAAAATAACCTTGGTATCTGGATGATTAATGTTCAGGTTGGGGGCGCTAATCTTTTTTATAACAACAACATTATGGTGAAAATTACAAAATGCATTTGATTAAGGAATTCACCAGACTACACCTATTTGGCTGTGACGCATTTGTATTTAATTTTCCATGATTAAACAACCTATCCCACTATAATAACAATTGAGATAAGTAAGTACTTCACATAGTAAATGATTGGGATGCTAATTTAAAACCATTTACGATTTTAATTCTATCTCACTTTAGCACGAATTAATTATAAGATCTGAAATAATTTAGTTTTACAAAGCACTTATTTAAGTTATGAATTTAGCTAACTGAGTAACCTAAAGCCGAGTAATTGCTGGCTTACCAACTAAATTAATATCTTGTATCTTTGACATAAGCATATTAAAATGTATCTTGGTACTTTTCACACGTTTGGACTGTGGCGTTGAACAAATGCATGATTCCATGGGACTTTGACACTTTGAACGTTTTGTAAAATAGCGTAATGTCGTCATCGATCTACTGACTCACGATTATTATATCTGTAAGCCAAAGGGAACTTTCTTAGCCTCTTCTTAACGATTTCAGCCTGTTGAATGTCTGACGATTGCAATCCTAATTATTTTTCAGGTTGGGGGAAGTAATCTCCTTTATAACAACCGTCTTATGGTGAAATTCACTAAACGCATTCAATTAAGGAATTCACCAGACTACACTTTTTTATGTATACACACGGGAATAATGCTGATAAGCGGTGACGAAATTGTATTTAAATTTCCAAGATTAAAGAACCTATTCTACTATAAGAACAATTGAGATAGGTAAGTAATACTACTTCACGTAGTAAATGATTGGAATTCTAATTTAAAACCATTTTCGATTTTAATTGTAACCACGAACTATGCGTTCTAGCTCACTTTAGTACGATTTAATTATAAGATCTGAAATAAATATACTTTACAAAAGCACTTATTTAAGTTTTGCATTTAGCGCTTCATTATACTAAAGGTAACTGAGTAATTAGAACCGAGTAATTGCTTCCTTATCACCCAAATTTCTTTTATCTATGTAATAAAATATATGTAGGTACTTTTAGTTAAACACGTTTGAACTGTGACGTAGAAAAAATGTATGATTCACTGCGACATCGGCCGTTTGAACGTTTTGTGAAAAAGGGATCCAATTTGTATGTATCCATTAGTATCACTTGTACTTTCAGTTAAAGTTCCCTATATTTGTACGCTGACTTATTTCGTCATTAATCTCCTGACCCACTTTTATTATAGCCGCAAGCTGAGGGAAGCTTTCGAAGAATCTGCATTACGCGCTTCAAGTTATTCCAAAGCTAACAGTCAGTTAATGTTTCGTATTTGTTTAAATGAAAAAAGAAAACAAATATCTGATTGCTGACTCATTGCGTCATCGATCTACTGACCCACGATTATTATAACCGTAAGCCCATGGGAACTTTCTTAGCCTCTTCTGAACAATTTCCGCCTGTTGAATGTCTGACGAACACATGTTTTCAGATTCTAGTCTTAAGAATCTTACCTTGCTGACACAGGGTCCTTCTAAGGTATCTGGCGACCGGGTGTCCACGATATCCGACGACTTTCCGCGGGCCTTGCGTTCGTTTATCGAGATGAAGGCTGGCCTTGAACTGGACTCGTCCACGGACTCCAGTAGCTGAGCGGCATCCAAGCAATTAATATTTTTCAGGGCGGTTATCAGTTGGTTGTAGGCGGTTGGGCCACGTTGGGTGACCTTGAGGAAAAGCCGACGATGCTGCTCCAGTCGCACATCCTCCTCGTCCATGTTGAATCGCTCGCCATTGAGGTCCTCCGTATTCCTCAGCATCTGGCTGGATAGGATACCCAGGCGGACGCACTCCATCGCCACCCGGCCATAATTGGACGACTTCACCAGATAATCCAGATTATTGCCGATGTGCTCGCGATGCTTTTTCAGCATTCCAATCTCGTGCTCCGACGACTGCATTCCGGATGTGGTTTAATGTCCGCGGACTCCGCTTATTTGGGGCTCCAAGGATAAATGTTTCTCACAGGCAGCGATCACTCTCCAGTGATATTGGCAGTGATTCACTGTTTCAAGGTTTTTCCGCGACTGACTTCGTTTGGCACTCGAATCGTTTCTTTGTCTCCGCTTTGTTGTTTTGTTGTTGTTGTCTTGCTGGCGGGGACGGCCAACGGCAGTATCCTTATTTTTCCAAAAGCAAATTACATAGACTATATATTGCACTAGAAGATCCTGTTTGCGATCAGGGATCTTCAAATAAAATTTCTTTTGGAACAAAAGGATTTTCGAGCTTTCTATCGCTGCCAATCACCGCGACGGAATCGTTCTCTCTCGGCACTACTCTAAATTCTGAGTGCGGGATTGGTGTGACCAACGCGAGATAGGCCAATTTAGTACATACCCGCAGTAGCATAAATATACCGAAAAATATCGTCAGTATTTTTATAATCACTAAATCCAAAGAGTGCGGTGACTTCGCGGTGATTCTGAAGCTGTGGAATCTGGATAAAGGGGGCTGTTTTTGTTTTTTAATTTTCTAGCTATTTAGGATGATGCTCGAAAAAATTAAAATACAAAATTGTAAATTGTACAGGCCGCGATTAATCACCAATTGTAAGTGAGTCACTTCAAGGCTTGTCCCTGCTGACTTTGCTATGCGCTCTTTTTGTTTAGCTTCTTATCATTATTTTCCCACAAGCAATAAATTGCACTACACCCTGGTAGATATTGGGGATCTTCGATTAAGATTTCTTTTGAGTTTCTGCTTTTAATCAGAGTGCGCGTAGCGTTTCACCATGACTCACATGTACATAAATTATAACTGCGCCGGCATCTTGTTTGTGATCACCGGTCAGCTGGACCCTTTCCTGCAGAGTCACTTCCACCTGTTATCGGTTTCATACTACATTAAAACCGAGGCACAAGTAGATAAATTAAAAAGGGTCAAAAAACAACATAGTAAAATACAAAGTATCAATAAACCAAACGCCCCAACAAGGAATTTTCTTGTTCAACATTAAAACCATTGGATGAAAGTTATTTATTCGTCAATCAGGTTGGGATTTAAGGGATTTAAAAAAAATGATTAAAATTGTTAAAATACTGGCTGTTAAAATATAATAAATATTTCAATTGGATAATAATTAAAATTTGTTCATATTACTATTTTTAAATAATAATACGTTATAAAAAATACTGCAACTTGAGTCAAAAATACAAAAGCCGAAATGGTCATCCTAATATTTAGCCAGTCGCAAAACGTAAACAAAGGCCATGGAGGAAAAACAATTTTTGCCGGAATCAAAGAATTCTGCTGAGGAAAGCGTAGCCAAGGCTCCAAACTTGCCAAGAGAAGTCAAACTGAAAATTCAAAGGTATCTCAACAGGGAGGGGTACTCGCAGCAAAATCTGGTGGAAGCATCCAAATACAACAAGCAAAACTATACGAACGCCGCTTTCCGTAAGTTTCTGGAATAAAATCCATAGAACTTTAAAAATATATATCTAAATAATCCCTAGATTATGTGTCCACCAGCATAAAAAGGGGACAGGAAATGGTGAAAAATTGCGACTCCGTCAGTCTGAACAACATTACCCAGTGGCTGGAACTAATGAAAAATGCCGAACTCTCGGATCTCTGCGAATTCGAGGCAGCTGCTGTTGTGAACTTCATAATCCAAAACGAGGAAAAGCCATCCCCAGACGAAATAAATGGCATCGACTTGAGGTAAGAAGTAATAAGAAATTTAGAATCAGGTTGTCCTAAGCCCATTATAATCCTTTAAAACTTCCTCTTTCCTTCCCACCTTTCCTTTCTTCCTGAACTCGAATGCAAAAATCATTTTAATTCCAAAACAATACTATATATATATCAGTATCAACAGGAAAGTCGATCTTATCCATATATCACGACCATATTTGTTGTCTTCTATATACGAATTTTATTCAAAACTTACAGAGCCTTTGAAAAAATTATATATATTTATTGAAGTTTCATTTTGATCCGTATTTTTGACTATAATTTAAGTATAGGCTTAAAATGATCCCTTTCATAACTTGCATTTTAATAAATACAATTGAATCTACCAAGGAGTAAACGGTATAAATGTTTTTATTTATTTTACTTATTTCAGCGAAGCGTATAAATTTTTGGAAAATGCGCTAATGGGCCAACCCCAAAAAAAAATGGGTGATGCCACTAAGGCATTTCTGTCCAAGGAAATTGAGGTGAGCAAAAATGAATTCCACTCTAGAAAGTAATGTTTAAAGCTTTTCCCTATAGCTCCTTATACAAGAGGCCAACACCGACAAATCCGATGATGTGGCACGTAGCATGGGACAATGCCTTTATAACCATCAGGTCGTCGACTATATGGAGCATCCCCAAAAATGCAGCTTGGACCCACTTTTTCTGGACGAAGAGCAAACGTAGAGGCTAGAGATAAATAATAATTAGGCAGTTTGTTCATTTCCACACATTTATTAAACATTTAAATTCAATTTTTGTTATATACGTACATTGTCACATGCATTAGCACTTTTCCATCTTTAATCAACCATCGATCCCACGTTTATACATTAGTATTACTATGCCGAATGCCCCAACCTTTGTACGTATTAATATTCGATAATTACATTCATAATTAAGTACTTGACTATAAACAGTTTTAGCACATTTAAAATCTAGAATTCCTTTAGTTGTACACAATTACTTCAAGTAGTGTAAGTACGAGTATAAGAAAAAGTTTAGGGTCTTTGGCCTTGGATTCTCTCAATTGCATAACATTTATTGTGCATGATTGTTTTCAATAGTTCTGGTTGCCAATTTGCATTGCATAGACTAGAGTAGAGATAGGTAGTTTAGTTTTGGTTTTGCTTTGATTAGCTTTGTTTTAAACTTTAAGAGGCATAAAAACAGTTGAGTGCTGCTTGACTCCCATAGCATCACAATAGAATCACAAGAGACAGAGTTGGCTTAATTTTTTCAATTTCATTACAGGTTCTAGGATGTCACACTTACGATAACATAACATACATACGATCAGAGTTACATACAAATTCGAATACAAATATAATACCCTTTAATATTAACCGTAGTTACTCTCATTAAAACGATCTTTTCACACAATCAAATGCAATTCAATAATGTACATAATATAATTCTTAAATGTTCAGTCCAGTTTGAGCTTTTCGTTTTCCCCTTTTTTTCTTTTTCTTTTTTGGTTTGTTTAGTTGTGTGTCCTCACGTAAACATTAATTAAAATTAAGTAAATCTAAGTATGTATACGTACGATTAAACGCTAGTAAACCATATAGATATGCCTTGTCTAAGATCGCAAAATGTAACCGAAATAAACGAAAACTCAGACTGAACAAAATGCAAAGCAGAATCAGGTGCATGGCAAGGATATGCTGTAGTTTCAAGATCATTAGCTGGCCTTAACTAAACGCAGATCCAACGGATCGAACAAACACAACGACAACAACGTAACAGAAAAATTTAATTGGTAGTTGGAAATTCGTAATTCCGTAATTTGTAATGATTTAGTGTCGGTAGAATTTTGATTGTCCCGTTTCCGTTCGTGTTATTCAGAGCATACATCATACGTGTATATAAAGTAGGTTTTAGTGTGTCCTAGGTAGAGTTCGTCTTGCTTCTTGATTGTATACATATATAAATTCATATTTGGTTTTAGTTTTTCACTTATATTCCGCTAAACATACCACAACAATGATAATCGCTTTATTTGCAGTTTACGTAATGAATACATTAATGACTTCTTCACTATAAAGTTTCAAGAGTTTACCATTTACCACACTTATGCGCGCATTTAGCTGCCCAATTATACAAATTGACTATAAGTTTGAGATTGAGATTGCCTTCAGGAACATCGAACATCGGCTTCATTAATTGATCTGGTTCTATTTCGGATCGGTAGATATTGGATCGTTGGACCTTGGGTTGGTTTCGTGTATTCACCTTAGTAGTAGTTTTGGGTGTGGTTGGACTTATTCCGTTCGAACAGAGAGTGTATATTTAATGGATTTGAATGATGGGGAATATATATGATTCATCACTGTAAAGCGCAGGCGGGAACCCTCGAGGTTCTTGGCTAAAAATAAACTTCTCTTTACATTCGTGGTTATTTATATTCATTTTGATTGCGTTTGCTGTAAAGCTCTGTGATTAGTTTGATTTTTATGGTGCTAGGTACGATGTAGGTACATGATTTCCTCTTATTTTTATCTGAGATAGCGATATGGTTGATGTTGGCAAAATAAATAAATAATTATAATTGCATTGGGCGGTTTCTTCCTTTGCTGATGTCTTATGATATGGTTCGGTCATAAATTGTTTAAATTAAAAGAATATTTAAATGCTATGTATAGTGATAGTGGCTGAATATTTGACATGTATTTTAAACTAGCGTACACATTCATAATAAATATATTCAAGAATAGTTAGGGTTTCTATGAATTGATTGCATTCTGCATAGTGTTGTTTTTTTTTTTGGTTTTCTCTGGATCGTGAATTTTTTGTTTGATTTTTGGGTTGTGTTTGACACTTTTGTTTTGGTTAAATTACAATTCATTTGTGATTAATATGTTGCTTTGGTCACATCGAATTGGATTGGCTAACAACATTTAGAGTTTCGACTGAAAATACTTAGTTAAGCTTGCTCTTGGTATACGTTTACAATGTTATATTTATATACCGCTAATATAAGTTGATTACTGGTGTTTCATAAATGGACCGAAATTGCATTGAAAAGTAATTGGATTCTTTTGAATGTATTTATCTGTTTGCGTTTCTGTATCTTTAGTTACGTCCGGAGAATAGTTGATACTGTAATAGAGTTGTTGCAAGATAATTAGGCCATCAATCTGGTTGTTCGGTTTCAAACGATTTTCAAATTACATATATCTATTGGTGGTATTGTTACATAAGTAGGTATTATCTAGCTACTGGGCAAATACGTTGGGAACTGCTGCAGCTACTCGGGTTTCGAGGTATCTCGCACTCCGTTACGGATATTACGTATATTACGGGAATTACGAATACGGTAAAACACCAAATATTTTCAATTAAGGAGACAAGAAGAGCGAAAGGGGCACACACAATATTGTTACTTTAAAGAGTATATAGGTATTATATGTATTAGAAAAAAAGGTGGGACAAACATCGGGTTCGGTTGACATGCATCAATTCGGTTCTCGGGTTTGCTTCCTATTTCCGGTTATTGCTGAGGGTTATCTGGATTAACTGGATTATCTGGGATCTGTTGTACGAGTATTCGGGTTCAACTGGTTACAGAATGCAAACTACGAACATTTATCTATGGGTAAACTTACGGCTAAATGTACGTGTCTCTGTGTTGGACTTCCACCGGATGTGTGTGACTACAAAACTACTACTAAGGTACAATTGTGGATGAGTGTGGGTATAATCGGGAGTTTCCGGTGACCTCTCACCTCCGGTTGGTTGACTTACGTTCAAGCAGAGCTTAGCCTGTCTAGGTATCGGTAGCAACTCTTTTCGACCTCATCAAGTTAGTATAATATATATATTCTTACACATTTGTCGCACAATCTACGCACTACGCACTTGGAATGCGAGAACCTTTGAACTCTTAAGGCACATTTCGAAGTATAATCATAATCATAAGTACGGCGAAAGCAAATAATAATTTAAAATGCATAAGCGGGCGGGGGGTTAATTGGGTTGAAGGGCAAAGCAACACTTATTGTGCAAAAGCCAAGTATACATTTAACAGTTACAATAAATTCGCAATGACTTAATCGTAGTAGAGTAAAATACAATACAAATGCATAGCAACATCTGATAAGTCGGTTAACAGATTCATATAGTTCAGATCGATATAGGTATGCAAGATAGCGGGTATAGCAGCCTTCTGAAGCCTTCAGTGTCAGTCAATCAATCAAGTTTACACATATGTATATTTTACATTATCTTCATGATCAGCAGCTTAATTCGATTTGTTTTCAGCTTGAGTTTTCTCTTCTTGTATATCTCAACTTTCTTTTGTTTTATTTCCTGAATTTATATATGGTGCAGTTCAGATGGGCAGAAAGTAAAATGGCAAGTCAATTAGTACAGATACATTCACAATGCCATGGAAAACGTCAATTCCAAAACACTTAAAAACACCACAAATATTGTACAACTGCGATGAAATGCAGGAACAACTTTTATTTAAAAACGAAAAATTTGCAGGCGCATGCATTTCAACGGGCTTTTTAGATTATTTCCTCTTTTGTTTTTTAGAGTTTAGACTACAGAAAAAGCATTTGTTTCACCTATGATTCAGCATTTGGATACTTATTAAGTCAAGTGAAACCTAACATTGGAAATTAAAGGGTCTTCAGTTTCAGTTATCATGCACATTTTGGGCTGTTATGATATACACAGAAAAAAGATTTAAATTTTGGACTTAAAATTGGATAAATATTAGTTTCAATTATTTTTATAAAGCATTTAATTTAATCGGCTCTTACAAATATGATCTTAAACTTGAAAAGAAATTCTGTAGCTTTAGAATTAAGAACATGGAAAATATCTTTAAAAATGTTAACTCGCCAACAATATTACACTTACAGAAACCCAGTAAAAAATGCCATGCAAACAAAAAAAAATATTAAAATATTTATACTTAATAACAAAATAAAAACAAACTATTATTAATAACATAAAAAACATTGTACCTTGATTACCGTAATATACAGGAACTTAACGGTATTAACTTAATGTACTCTTCTAATGATAACTATCCTAAGATAACGTATAGCTCCGGGTTGAACTAACTAACTCGTAAGAGTGTGAGCGGGAAAGATGTCGTTTAAGCTGACATAAATCCGATAAATTCATAGTGCAGGTGCTTAAGCTAATCTAGCTGGTAATGTGGGCCTTAACAATAAAAACACTATCGTGGGATTTACAAGCACGATTACCAGGACGACATTGATAAAGGATTCAAATTAAGTTAACATCACGTACCGCACAAAAACACACACACATGCAGCGGTGGCAATAGTGTTTGTGTGTGGGTGGGAAATTCTGGCTTTTCTCTGAAATTTGATTTTTCAATGACTAATTGAATTCAACAATTCACACGGCCGTTATTCTTATTTGTTTTTGGTTTTATGGGGCAGGGATTTAAAATCGATTGGAGTGGCAACAACTAAGATAATTAATAATATCAATCAATAATAAAGATAAATAGTAGTTAGTAGTATCCAATTTGGGCTATGTGATGGATAACTTTGTTACGATTTCGGATATGTTTCAACATTAACACTTATGGTACATACAAATATAAGACTTGAATAAATTCTTCAAAAAACAACAGTTGTGTATTCGTTCTATTAGTAGGTATGCATATAAATATATTTTTTTAGTAATTCGTTTTTGGTTTTAGTTTAGTATCAACGTTGTGTAAGTAGTACGTATGGCTAGGCTATAGTAGTTCTCACATAGGTACGTTCATTCATTGATTGGCATGATCTTTTTGTTATTTTCTTGCTACATTTTACCCTCTGCCCCTGTTGCATAATATTCCACTTGATTTGCTTCCATTCGCTTTGATTTTCTACTATATATATGTATATCGTATATAGAGAGTTTGATCTGATTGTTTTTAGTTCCTTGGCGGATTGAGATTGAGATTCATGCTCCGCAGTTTGGCCTTGTAACGCACATTGTTGAGGCTCTGATTGAAATTGAGGCCGTAATTAGGGCCGTAATTGTAGCCGGAACTGAGGCCGGAATTGTAATTGCTGGTGCTGGCTGAACCGTATCTGCTGGAATCGGCGTTGGCCGGAGCCTCGCCGATTTCGTTCAGATCGTATTATTGACTGAATGTGATATTGAGTGACGGACACTTTCGGACGCTGCTGTGGCTGAGGCTGTGGCTGTTGCGCGTGCCATTGACCCGCAACAGCGGCACCGGGCTAACCGTGCCGGATACGGAAGTTAATTGTCTTACCATGCCGGATCCCAGCTGCTGCAGTAGCCCCGATCCGGAGCCGAGTGGACCCGATGACAGGACGGTGGACTGGCGGCGCGACCTTATCGACTGCATACTGGACGACAGCAGGAACGGAACACTGCTCGAGGTGTTCGGCATGGAGCCACCCTGTTTTTGGGAGTACAATAAAGGAGATTTCTTTGGAAGATTAGTCGGGGCTAGTCACAGTTGGTCATGCATTTTAATTTTGTTTTCTTTTTTTTTTTTTAGGCGGATGCGTTCGGGAGCGAGTTTAGATTTAATCATACTTTTTCGTTTGGTTTTTGTGCTATGTACAGGGTCTGCGATGTGAATATATGTGTGTTGGTTGAACCCAAGCCTTACCGACGGATAAGTATACATTGAGCTGATGGTGCAACAAACAAACAAACAAACAAACGAACTAACAAACAAACAATCGAACAAACCATGAAAGAAAGCCAAACTTGAACTCAATCAATCAACAGACAGGAGAAGGTCGAAGCCAAAACATTGATATAAACGAATTACGGAACACAGAAAGTCCAACTGAATGAGAATATATAGGATATATACGGATAGAGGTATGTACATATGAGGCCGAATGCGCTTGGGTATTTATGCATATATTCCAAATCAAATTTGGCCTCGCTGACATGAAAGGCAGAAGGGCGTTGGGGCGCAAGGGGCGGGGCAAATGAAATCAAATTACATTAACATAAAATTTAATATCAGCACACTGCGTGTGCGTGTGTGTGTGTTCGGGAGTGTGCTTGACTGTGTGTGCGTGTCTAGACCTTAAATAGTTGAGAGGCGGAAAAAAGGGGGTGAGCTGAAGAGACTGAAAGAGAAAATTAAATGGAAAATCCGAAATTATGAAACGTGTACTCACGATCATGCTCCGTGCAAGCTGCGAATTTTTTATTTATACGTATATTCGATTTTTGTATCAATTATTTTTTGTTCGTACATGAAATGAAGAACGGAAATATACACACATGAAATAAACGCAGTCTTGTGTTCTGTGTTTTGTTTTTTCGGAGTTAACATCAATTCACAGCGCTGTTATTCAAAAATTTAACAGCAAAAATACACGAAAATCTGGCTTTCCATTTTTATTTATTTATTTTTTTCTCAGCCATTCAAATACATATAGTGGTGGTGTCCATGTTCAGATGTGTGTGGTATTTGGTTTTTCATTAGTTTCTTTCTGATACGAACGCAACATGAACAGAGTTAAATAGAAACGAAATCAAATTAACACTGAGCACGATCAGGACATTAATGAAGAAGTAGTCAGGTTTATATAGTATAGGTATAGTATAGTATAATAAACATAAATTGTTGTAGTATCTGTTGTAGTTGCTATCCATTGTAGACGTTTAAGAGAGTTGATGGCTTTCGTAATGGCTGTTGAAATTAGCCATGTGATTGGGTTGTATTTAGTGTTTACTTGGTTTTTATTTCCTGGTGTAATAATTATTGTCACGTAATTTAGATTTTTTGGTTTGATTTGAAAATCTAGATTCCTATTTTAAATTTAACTTTAAACTATAAAACAAACTTCGAGAGTGAAATAAATACTTTGAATAAAATAAGCCGAACGAAAATGATTTATCATAAAAAAATGGTTTTTACTCGCAACATCTGAATAATTAATTTGAAAAAAGGTTATTTTAACTTTGGAAGTTTTAAAGCTTATTTATGTCAGTTAAAAGTATAAATTATAAATCTTAAAATATTATATTTTTCCAGATAAAATTTTATATTTGTCTTGAAAACAAGTTAATATAAACAAAATATCTCTTTTAAAAACAAGATTCCCTTGAAGCCCTAAAAAGTATGCTACATTTTCCATCCTTAAACTCGGCGCACTTTGATTGATTTTTCCTTTATCAATTCGATTATTTCGCTGAAAAGACTTCCAAATTTACATCATATCGAGACTCTCCCTCTCTGAAGGCACTTTGTATATACTTAAAAATCATAATAGGATACGTAGATAGGTAATGAAAATAACATGAACACCAAAGACAACAAAAACGGGACAGAGTCGACTGCATTATATATACACCGTATTGGATATTAGCATAGGCTTTTATTTGGCCCGATCCCAGAGAGAAGGAGACAGAGAACGGAAGAACAGGCAGACACAGTTTAAGAACAGGAGTCTTGAAACTTGAAACTCAACGATGAACCACACAAAAATAATAAAATTGAGAACAAACAGAGATGAATACATGTACAGGAACAAATAGCAGCAGCGCAGCAAATGCACAAAATAAATCGAAAATAAAAATGGACAAAATACAACATAAAACCATTAAATTAAAATAAAATAATTCAAATATTCTTGCAACAGGTTTTCCATCCAAATAACAGCACAAGAACGAGTACGAGTACGAGAACGAGAACGAGAGATTTAGGCAGCAAGTCAAATTCATATTCAAACGCAGTTGCAGTTGCAGTCTCAAAATACATATCGAGTACATATCGAAAAAGGCCAGCGAGAGACGGGTGCGAGCGAGCGAGCAATAGAAGCGGAACCGGAAGCGCATCCTCTAACTTCCGTTCGCCATTTTGCCTGGCAATCGTTGTTTTGTTCAAGTGATATTTGTGTGTGGATAAAAAGGACAGAAAGTTAGCTTTTGGAGTGCTTTTGGAGACGACAGCGATAACAATATAACGACAGTTAACAACTTGGCAAAACAAAGTCCATTTCGATGTTGGCTAAAAGTGCTGCCGACAACTCGCACAAGTATTCCAAACGAATCCGTTCAGATAGGCCTAGTTATGTTCGGGGTGGTATTGTACCCTTAAAACGGCTTTTGAAATTGTAAAAATATTATTTCAAAATTTAAGTTATAACTTTCTTTAAATTTGTTTATGAAAGTCCAGAAACTAGTTATTATAATTTTATTGCTTTTGTTTGACATTAATTCTTTAATATATTCTATAATTATAACAAATATTTGCAACATATTTCCGGTACAATATAAATTTAATAACTAACTATAACTTAACTATTTTTAAAAGAAGATGAAATTTTTAAAATGTCAATATGATTTTCTTTTTACTGATTTATTGAAGTTTGGGAAAGGTTATAGATTTCAGAAAATTATTCGTTAACTAAAATATAATTAAACTGTAGCCGTTAAGGGTACAATATCTTCGACTTGGTCGAAGCTCGCAGTGTTCATTGAAAATCTGCATTCACATAACTGAGATTGCTTTGTTTTTTAGACTTACAACATAGACTGAAGTGGATGGCACCGATAGACTCGATCCAGAGCTACCGCGGGCACCGTACTAAATTGATGGAAAGATAAAAGTCATGGCGATCGAAGGACCCCGAAAACAACGTAGAATTCGTATTTTTGTTTCATTTTTTGTTGTTCAGTGTATGGGTGATCAGTTTGGATCGGGGAGATAAGATATAAGAGAGTGTGTGTTAGAGCATCTGTGATATGTAGACTTCGCTGCGGGGTCGGGGGGAAATGAGCTAATACATAATCGCATTCATAACTAATCAGATCGGAAATGAAAGTACCAACGAAATAGAGAACTTAACCCAGAACGAAATGTTTCTTGTTTGGTTTTGTACGTAGTCATGTGGGCAATGTTCGCTTGAGAACTGAGAACTCTTAACTTTAACTGTAACTGTAACTGTAACTGTAGACTGTAGTAAACACGGTAAACGCTACGCTAGGCGCTATAGCTAGTTGGCTATATATAGTAGTATACAGAGTAGTTCGGCGGGTTAAACATGGCACATGAGCTGCTGGAAAAGCCAAACCAAGGAAACGAAGAAGCGACAGGGCGCACTCAAATTAAATATCAATAAAAATCAAATAACGCCAAAGCCTTTTGTGGCCGTCGAGTGGCAGCGCGAAAAATAAAATAAATAGATGGGGGCACTGGGAAAACCACAACAAACAATGGTGGCCACAAAATGAAAGCGAAACAGAAAAGGAAAATTCGAAAAAAAATAAAATCGAAACCGAAACCGAAATGGAAACCCAGTGCCGGGCCAGACACAAACAACTTACAGTTGGCGGTGACAAATTGATGGTGGAGCCCCGCCGCTCCTGCGGCCCAATGCTCGAGTGGCGCCTCGTCGGCAGCCCGCTGCCAGGAGTTCCACCCGGCGAGGAGGCGCACGAGGGCGCGATCCGGATCTTGGGGGTCATCAGTGTGTTGTCCGACAGCCGCCGGTTGGGGAACACGTTGCCCACGCGCAGGAAATTGCTATCCGGCGAGGATGGCGAGCAGCCGAACCACCAGCCGCCCAGCATGCCAGAGCCTACATGAAAGCGACATTGCAGAGAGAGAAAAATCGACAGTTCGACAGTCATCAATTTGCTTTTCAAAATTATGTATCAATGGATTTCAAAATAATATGGTTTTCTATAAATTTTTTATTAAAAGATGTGTTCTCTTAAAGCAATTGCTTTGCATTATAATTAAGCAGTTGAAATGTTGGGCTCTAAAATAATAAGTTTTTCTATAAATTAATGACTATGAAAATTATAAAGAAATCTGGAAAGTTATTGTTTTAAGTAAATAAGGCTAAGTCTTACACAGTCTAATTAGTTCTCTAACATTTTTGTTTTTAAAGTGAATTCAAAAGTTTCTTTTAAATGTACCTTTTAGATTTCCAAATAATTTGTTTGAAATATTTTGAAGCTAAAGAATATTTACAAAACTAGTATGAACCTTTTCCTGCTGTGTTCGAACACACATTTGTATGGCTTTTTCCAGATAGCTGACACATCAGCAGTGTGTTGCGAAGCTAATTAAGTCTAATAATGGTCGCGGTCAGGGCCGAAAACACAGGCACGTAGCTTTTGTCGGCGACGAGACCGCAGTGAGTGCCAAATGCCGACAACCGACAAACCGAAAACCCGAATCGCAGCCAGCCAAGGATTCTCTCGCCTGCGATTCTGTCACTGCCAAGGACGTTCGCACATTTTGCGGTTGCGGCCGCTGCACCTGACTTTCCCCCCGCCGCCCCATTTTTCATTCCCATTCAGAGGCAATTTATGGCAAAAGTTATTAACTTGAATTCGTGGAAATCGTGAAGGTTGCGTTGTTCACTTGGCATTTGCAATTCAATTCAAGTGGATTTTCACAAAAAGCCTTCACAAAACTATGATATTTTGTTATACAAAAGTAAATTTCTGCTCTTAGCATTAACTCAAAGTAAAGGTAGAAATTTTGTGGATCAAAAGTTGAGCTGGCTTACATGTCGTATGATTAATTTTTAAAGGCATTGTAGTTGAAACCTTAAGTTTATTTGAGAAAAAACTTTAAATTATTTCTGCTCTTGCTTAAAATTTAAATATTCTGAAGTTTTAATTTAGGAAGACTTTTCCTGGACCACGTGTCGTATGAGTAACGTAGAAAAATATTATATCAAGAAACCCACGTGTTGAATACTTTTAGTGAGTGATAGCAAAGTGATCTTATATTTGTTTTACAAAGATTGAGGTAGATGCAGTTTCCTCCTCAATTAATTTTATTATTTAACAAAACTATATTGTTTTTGTTTAGATTTGATCCAATAACCCTAAATGTTCTTCTGTTTACTCAGGTATTTTAGATTATAAGACTCGGTAAGTTGGTTGCTGACTGCCGGAAAATGGCCTAGCCTTGTTTGTTTGTGACTTAAGTGGCAATATGCAGCAGGAGCTGCATACAGGTGGCGAGGTGGAAATTGCCAAGTGGGTCGGGGGGTTCAAGGTGGCTCTGACCCCGGCTGTGGCAAATTGTCAGTGGCACAGTGGGCCGGACTGAGCTGAGCTGACTCGTGTCTGCGAGCGATTAGGGCCATCATAATAAATCATCATTAGGGCGAAAGTTCATTAAGCACTGCAGCCTGTGTTTCCATGACTGATAATACCCGGCTCCGGGCGGTGCTTTTGATTTTCATGTTCGCCATTATAAAATTATCATTGCCAGGATAACACAATTAAAAGCTCGGCACAATGGCCCCGATTGCGAAGGAGACGACTGATTAGTGGCCAGGCCAAACGGGCTCCTGTCACGTTCCATGAGTATCAAATCGAAATCACAACGAAATTTCCAATTATACATGCCCACAGGCGGTCACTCAACTGGCAACCAAGTGGGGGTCCCCCTTCCTTAATAACAAATTCAGTATATTCCATAGAATGCCAGCCAAATTTCTTAGCCTCAACTTTCTGTGTACTTTTCACTATTTCATGAATTAATTATAAGTTAATAGGACTGCAAAATTGCTTAATAATTAAAGTCAAAAGGTATGCAATATTTATTACAAATTAAGTAAAAATATTATTTGAATATTTAATGCCGTTGTCTCAAAACTACACCTTTCACATTGCTTTATATTGACAACTGTCCCTGCTAGAATTTATTTTAATTTACGGAAAAACAACCAACAATTTAGATGCAAAAAAGTGTAGAAAGGGAAAAATATTGTTTGAATGAAAATCGTTAAATTTGAACTTTAAGTTAATATTTTTAAAATACCAGTCTAAGATGTCTAATATAGCTTGCAAAATGGATATATTAAAAAGTGACTTAAAAGCATTTAAAATTCATGTTTATTTTAACAAATAATAAAAGCGCGTATTTTATCTAAGAAGGATTTCTTTATAAGATTTTCTTTTAATAGTAAGCTATTTAGTCGGAAACATTACTGCCTAATTGTTTTTTGCCCCTCGAAATTCTCCAAAAAATATAGTGGTCATATATATAAATATAGGGCTTTTAAGATCTACTTACCGCCAGAATTTTTGCGGGCCATGTCCTCGGCGCTGGAAGTTTTGCGTTGATCTATACGCAAGTTGGGAATGTTGAAGGGCGGCGCGTTCATGTTGTCCGTCGAGAATTGGTGGCGCAGGGTGCGGTGGCGTTCCGGCGAGGCCATCGACAGGTTGTCCAGCTTCAACTTGTTCCTCTGCTGCCGATCGATTGCCTCCAGCATTTGCTGCAGCACCTGCAAAAATAGTAATAGCAGTTGGGAAAGTCCCCACCTGGAATAACCAGCCTTCTCGGTGGAACACTCACCTCCAGCAGGTAGCAATAATGCTCGAAATTGAGTGCCGGATTGACGGTATGCGGAATGAGCAGGGGCAGCACATTGGTGGCCATCGTCTCCACGGTCAGTCCGTACGTTTTGTCCACAAACAGTTTATGATAGATGCCTGCGAAATTTAATTAACAGAAGCGTATTACTTGGCCAGCTCAGAACAATGCAATTGGCTGTCAAGCACTAAAGTTTTCAATTGCATTTCAATGAAAGCTTAAAATACCTTTCTTAAAAATGACTATTATTATTGGCAAATTAGATTAAAGCATTAAAGCAAATTCCTAAAAATTAGCTTATTGACCTATTTAAGTTGAATGTCTCAATATTCCCCCAGGCTTGAAACATAATCACAGAAATACAAACATTTTTCCCCCTAAGTAAACAATCAAATTAGGTAGTTTATGAATTAAATCGAACTATTTGTACTATTGTCAGCTTCTGCAGGATTCGCTTAAAACGAAGCATCTGTGGGCAATTTGTATTGATTCAACCACCCAGATAAACCTCTGTAAATCTGCATTGTTCGAAATGGGCCAAGGGGAAAATTGTGTTTTATGCACTTTAATTAGCTTTCGATAATGGCCTATGAAAACAATGGGCATTGGAAGCGTGTGAAGTTGCTGGCGGCATTGTGGTTCAACTTACGAACAGTACGCATGATGATATCGGGATCGGGAATGCGAATGTTGGCCAGAAGCGGCAGGACCTCATCCATGACCTGCCATAGAAGTGTGATATATGTGGTTTTTAGAGCTGAGAAATGGATCCTAGATTACTCACCTGAGCCCGCTCCATGCGGTCCATGACTCGCTCGATGCACATAAGGACATTCTGCACTATCTTCGGATCGGTTATGTTCTTCTCGAACACCATTTTCACCTTGGGCAGGACCATTCGCCGGATGGAGAGCTCGTCGATGCTATCAAACACATTGGCCACAGCCACAACGGCAGCACTCTATGTTTGGAATATCAATTAAGTTATTTAATAATATAGTTAACAAGAAAGGAAAGCTAACTTCGGGCGGAGCCGAAGTTGAAATACCCTTGCAGAATATTCTGCAAATTATATTCTCCAAAATCATTAATAATGCATTCTTAATACTCATAAAAAATCCCAACTTCCTAACTTTAAAAACACCAAAGTTATGGCATTTCCAATCGTTCAGTTATATGGCAGTTATAGAATATAGTCGGCCGATCCTTATGAAATTTGATATGTCGGATTGATTAGGCAAAAATAAAACCCATAGAAAATCCCAACTTCCTAACTTAACAAACACCAAAATTATGGCATTTCCGATCAATCAGTTATATGGCAGCTATAAGATATAGTCGGCCGATCCTTATGAAATTTGGTACGTCTGATTGATTGGCCAAATATAAAACCCATAGAAAATCCCAACTTCCTAACTTTACAAACACCAAAGTTATGGCATTTCCGATCAATCAGTTATATGGCAGCTATAAGATATAGTCGGCCGATCCTTATGAAATTTGGTACGTCGGATTGATTGGCCAAATATAAAACCCATAGAAAATCCCAACTTCCTAACTTTACAAACACCAAAGTTATGGCATTTCCGATCAATCAGTTATATGGCAGCTATAAGATATAGTCGGCCGATCCTTATGAAATTTGGTACGTCGGATTGATTGGCCAAATATAAAACCCATAGAAAGTCCCAACTTCCTAACCTAACAAACAGCAGAGTTATGGCATTTCCGATCAATCAGTTATATGGCAGCTATAGGATATAGTCGGCCGATCCCGGCCGTTCCGACTTATATACTGCGTGCAAAGGAAAGAAGGGTGTGTGCAAAGTTTCAATTCGATATCTTTAAAACTGAGAGACTAGTTCGCGTAGAAACAGACAGACGGACAGACAGACGGACAGACGGACAGACGGACAGACGGACAGACGGACAGACGGACAGACGGACATGGCTATATCAACTCAGGAGGTGATCCTGATCAAGAATATATATACTTTATAGGGTCGGAGATGTCTCCTTCACTGCGTTGCACACTTTTGACCAAAATTATAATACCCTCTGCAAGGGTATAAAAATATGTGGCATATATGCAATTTCATTAAGATTTATAAGAGAATATATTTGGTTAAATATGAATATATATATATATGGTATTTATTACAATATGTATTTCCTTTTATTTTTATAAAAAATTATGATTTCTACTAGTATAAAGAATTATATAATATTAGAAAAACAAAATTAAATTGATTAATTTTAAATTCGTATAATTTAATTATGTTCAAATTCGATTAGAAGGACAATTAAATTATTAATTTGAATCGAAGGTAAGAACACAATAGCGTTATTTATTTTTAACATATTTCGAGCCAAATACGGCTTTAAAACCTTCAAGAGAAGTTTGTTTTTCTCAGGTCGCTTAAATTTGTTCCCATTTATTGAATTTTAATTTTACTCCTTCTCTCTAAAGACTCAAAATTGCGGAAAGAAATGCAAATTCACTTTGTCGGGCACTTTTGTGCTCTGAGTCAGCGCTGAGTCGCAGTTAATTAAGAAATTGCTGCTGTAATTACACAACCAGCTCCGTCGTCGTCAACCCATTTCCATTTCCATTGCCATGTGCCGCTGTCTGGGCTGATTTGCATATCCGAGTGGGCCACTCACCTGCACTTGTATCGTGGAGCCGTCGAAGGAGTAGAACAACATCGGCATTATATCTGTGGTGACATCCTCCGGCTTCGTCTTCTCGATAATCAAATGCAAATTCTCAAGTATCGTAACGCTGGCCTGAATGGATTTCGGTGTATTGTAGATGATTCTAAGTGAGATGACAGCGAGATATATCACAGATTTGATTAGTGAAAACTTTCCATGCCGATATGTAGCACGGATAAATTACTAAAAATAAGTGCGTGTGAAAAGTTCGAAGGGCCAAGTTTCTTTTATTTCATGGCCGGGTGTCAATAAGCATCTTACAAGTGGCCACAAAGTTTGTCTTCAAGTTTTGGGGCCAAAGTAGTGAACTCTCTCTGGCAATGCCGGCTTTGTGTGTTTTACTAATTTATGCACGGCTACCACCAAAGGTGAGCACTCCGGGCCAAGACCGCCCACTTTCCCGCCACGCCCCCTTCGGCAGGGCCTGGGAAAGTTTGCCAACCACTCGAGCTCTATAAATTACAATACGAACTGTCGTCTGTCGCAGTGGGCGCAATAAAACGTCATGAAAATTGAATAACAGGGAAAAAAGTGTCGCGAAAGTTTTTCAATTGTTCAAGCATAAAGTTCGGATCGCTAGACAAGAACAGAAAGGATGCTGGATGAACAATGACACGATTGAAAAACTTTTGTAAACCGGACTGTCGTTAGGAATATAAATATATTTAAATAGAAAAATTGAAATTCGTATGTTTAATTTAAGTTTTGTTTCACTCTACCGTTTAGTTATTATAATTTTAAAGTCCCTTTTCAATATAAGATCTTCTTGTTTCCAAACAATATCTCTTTATTAAATTCATAATTTTTCCAAGCTTTAATTGCTTAAACTAATTTGAGGCCAAAATCCTATTTCATTGTTTACATTTGCGGTCTACAGCTTTAATTTTTAAACAACTATGTATTTATACATTTAATTATTTCTCATTAATTTCTGTTTGTATTCCCATTAACTTTAATTCCATTCTATTAAATAGTTAATACCATGTAATTATTTCTTTTTAAAGCCGCTGCTGGCTCTTTGAAGACCTATTGCTCGGTTTTCATTTGTGGTCACCAGCCTGGCATTCAATTCGATTGTCTTCTCTTACCAATGGGCTATAAATAAGTCCACTTACTTCATGGTGGCCGACATGAGGTTGTCGTACTCCGTGTGCGTGGCTTCCTGGACAAAGAGCATGACCGGCTGCAGGACAGCGGCAAGGACCTCGTTATTGTTGATCTCCGACTTGAGCATGGGCCAGATGTTCTGCCACCAGAGTTTCTACAATAAAGGCAGAAAAATAAAGAGAAAAAGGTGCACGAATGTGGGCAAGTCATTAACCAGTCTATGTCATTTCAATTGCCAATGCTAAGCCGTCATTAACGGCCTCAGACAAAGGCCCAAAAAAAGGGGGGGAAACTGACGAACAGTGTAAGACAGTCGCAACGGTTTTGCAACTGACATAAAACGGCTCGTAATTCACAAATTGTTTGGCCGTAAAGCGCACAACTTGGCGCCGTTAATGATTAATGCGCTGTCAGTTCGTTGGCCCAAAGATCTGTCCAACAGGAGGCTGCATCCGTTTCCGGCGGGCGACGGAACTGGGTGTCACTTACTCGTGGTATCAACGGCATGGCCTCTATCAAGGTGGTCTTGTAGAACTGGGACTTCTGCTGCGTGTCCTTCATGTTGACCACGTCCAGGAATTTGAGAGCGTTTATGGGCGTATCGCTGTGAAACAGGATAAATGACATCGAATTAAATTTCGTTACAGTTTTTTGTATAAAATGGTACAAGTATTAATAAAAATTGTGTAATCGCTTTAAGTGCTTAATTGCATTTCTGTTTTTTAAATGACCGTCGCTGGATTATTCAGTAAATGGCATCAATTAAACAATAAGCTGCAAGTGCGAACGAATCAAATTGAACAACATCAAATGGAAATAGCAGAGGAAAACCCACAAAAATTAGCTAAAGGCAATATTTATCTCTGTGGCACTGAAATTAAAATATTAAGTCCCCGCAGAGCGCCGGTCGGGCGCCACAACTTTCCTAAATGGAATTCTAAATACTTTTCATTGTTATGTAAATCAAATTGTTGAAATTTAATTGCCAAAAAGTGTTTACTTTCGACCCGCATCCCGCCCCCATTTTGTGTTTTTTGGTGTGTGGATTCCCGGTTATCAGCAGCCGAACAGACGAATGCTGTGAAATTGCCACAAATTGCAAACAAATGTGCGCCATGCCATGCTGCTTTAGTTTCGCTTAGTTAAACAATGAAACTAAATCACATTGCGTATACGCCGCGTAGTCCAGTTGATTTCGCCTCTTGTCGACTTAATCAGGGCAATCGACCAAGCGGAAAAGTCTTATTTCAAATGTCTGCTACTTGAGCTTAAAAGGAGGTAAGTTAGCTTTCCACTGATTGCCAAGACACTCCAGCCATTTGCATACGCTGCTAAAAACGCGGAAAATGTTGACAACATTTAAATTAACTTCAAAGTGCTGCCACCAACCTGACTGACTGACTAACTGACTGGATGACTAACAAAGGCAAAGGAGGGATGTCAAGGTGGTTGAGATTCTACAGCCGGTGAAGCAAGGAAAACTGGTGAAGCAGCATGCTGTTGCTTTCACTGTTTTCCACTTGCTGCTGCTGTCAGCGAGTTTAGATGCGTAGGTGTGGTAGCAGGAGGTATATGAGTTTGATTTAAATCATTAAAAAACACAATTAAAATGTAAAAAATTATTTCTTAATTTCAGTAATAAAGTACTAAACAAAGTGAAATATATGTTAATCCTGAAATATGTAAAAACTTCTCTAAAAAACAAAATTCATTTTTATGTAATGTTTCCTTAAGTATAAGCGATAAACCTATCACTTAGGTCATTATTTCTAAATTTTAATAATTAATAATTTGTATAATATTTAGGTATAAAGTTTTTGGGTGTAATAAAGTTACAGAAAAGTCTTTGAGTTATCAAAATAACAACATGAATGCCTTTAAATATCTTAAGACTTCAATCTAATATTTTATTGGATGATTTCTAAAAATTTGATAACTTAATTTGGCCTGAAAAAAATGTATATTGCCGTAGAAATAGAAGAATAGGTTATAAATAAACTACAATATATATCTGCTCCAGTAAGCAATTACAGAACAAGCAATAAAGTTTTGTAAGTGAATAAACAAGAACTGTCTGGACCTGTCCATGATTACTTTAAAAAATTGCACTTATGAAAAGGCAATTTCAATTCAATTCACAGAGCACCAGTAGCAGCAACATTACCACACAATTGGCAACGTTTTGCGCTACTTTACATGCAATTCACCTATGGGGCATATATTCTAGAGACAGGCAGCGGTATTCCCCGGCTGAGCAATGATGTAGTTTATGCCTGGGTTGTGCCGCCACTTCAGCCGCCACTTCTCCATTGCCATCGCCATCGCCATTTCCATCGTCTTTGGCTTTGTTTGTCTAAACGCGGCACGTCGCCCTCCACCCACGTCTTCCCCTCTTCCACACTTTCAGATCTCTACGGGAGGCAGGCCAACAGCTGCTGTCGTCATAAATCCCAGAGTCAGGCAACCGGGCTGTGGAAGCAATGCCACTCCAGCTCAACTACCGCAGCACAATCAGCTGAAAAGCACCCACTTCTTACACTGGAAAAATAAGTGCTGTGAACGTTCCTTGCAATCTGTAGCAATATAAAAACCTGCCTTCCTACTCTTTTATCACTTGGTATATAAAGTTAATTTGTAGCCTAATATATATATAATATACTAATAAGCGAATTCTTCAGCTTCATAAAACATTTTAAAATTTATGGTAAAAAAAAAATTTAATTGCGAATTCGTAAGCTTTTAAATGTAACTTTTTATAAATACAAAATAGAAAAAGCCTTTAAAAATCAGACGCTTTATTTTCTGGATATGGTAGCAGAATTAGGCACTTATAAAAGTAATTTTCTTTGATTCTCTCTGGCTAAAAACATTTTTCCCAGTGCACAGCTCCCATTCGCTTTGCATTGTGTATGTCTTTCAGGTCTGATTACCGCTTTCATTTGGCAAACAGACGTAATTAAAGTGTGCGTGTGTTGGTTGAGGAAAGGTGGTAGGATGGATGGTTGACTGGGGTGCAAAAAAAAAAGGGAAACCTGCAATTGAATTTCAGCTACAGGTACAAATTGGCTTAGAGATTGCGTGTCGCATGAGTCTACATATATATGTGTGTATTTGTGCTCCCAACAGGTGTCAATTTCATTTGAAACTCAAACAGAAACATTGAGCGTAACTGCGCAAATAGCCACAGTTTGTAGCGCTTCCTGTTGCGTCTTAGCTGGAAGTTAATTAATTTGGCCACTCACATGAAGTACTTGATGAGCTGCAGCAGTTGGGCGGTGGGCCTGGCCGTTGCATCCCGACTGGCCATCCGTGAAGTGGCCTCCTGCAGGGCGATTGGCAGCCTGGGCATCAGCTTGTGGACCATATCATCCAGCTGGAATGGGGAAAAGGGCCAAAACTCTCTTCATAAGCATAAACGAAACAAACTTTGCCACAACATTAGAAACCACTTGGGCACTTCGACTTCGACTTCGGAAGCAACGGCCAAATGCCTCCGACTGGACGAAAAGTTTTAATGACAAGCGCCCGCGGGATGGCTGCTGTTCCTGCTCCGTCACCTGTCCGCACAAGTGGCAAAATAATTAGAGTTTCAAGTGGACTTTTTGATTACATTTGCATTTGACAAAGCTGCGAATCTAATTACGGCTCGCAAACAAGCCCATCCAAGCGTTCTGCCTCGGCTCAAAAACTTTTCATCCATCCAATTGGCACTTGTCGCTCCCAGTCCGCCGTTTCCTGGCCGTTCAGAAATTAGAAATTGTTTACCCACCGATTCCATTTGCTTCGCATAATTGGAGGTGGAGTTGCCAGCCTGTATCAGGGGCCTTCCGTTGTTGAAAACCGCGCAGATCACCATTCCCAGTGAGAACATGTCGCTTAGCAGGCTGCACTTGGACGTTGACTGAGTTTCGGGAGCTAATCCGGGAAAATTAAATCAAAACAATGGGATACAAGTTCATTAAGCAGTTGGTTTGGTTTCTGGAAAAGTATATTTCTAATACGATATCTAGGATAGGCAGAACTAAAATAAATACAAAATAAAATTCAAATCTTAAACTGCAAAAACAAAAATATTTTCTTTAAATTTAAAATCAGTCTTGAGCTTAGCACTAAATTTACAAGAACTGATATCAACTTGTTTCCAATAGTATCTAATAACTTATTGACTTAAAAATAATAAGTGATTTTAATCTTTGCTTTAAAAATATCGGTCTTAAAAAAATATGTAATTGTGTTTTGACCAATTTCAAGAGTTGAATTAAAATCATTTCGTTTTATCATTTACTATCAATAAGCTCTAGGATCTAATCCTTTGCCCTATTAAAGTTCCATTTGTCATTTATTTTGGCATAAGAAATCGCCCGAATTGATGATGTACAGCTTGGTTAACTTTTTTCGAAATAAGTGAAGAGGAAAAGGACATGACCAATCTGGATTTACTCACCCATAAAGTCGAGATTCGGCTGGGCCATCTTGGACACTCGGTTGCTCCAAGGCGGGCACGGAATGGAGCTGTTCAAATCGTTCTCGTTCATCCTCTCTGCAATCCGAATATGCGAATATGAATACAAATTGCCGACCCTGGCCAATCCATTTCAATTTCGGGGCCCCAGGACCGCACTCACCCACATATTCCATGCCGGCCAGCTTCCAGATACCGCGCTTGGTTATTAGTATAGAGGATGGACACACATTGCGATGAATTACGTGACCGGAATAGTGCAGATATGCCAAAGCCTCGGTCAGCTGGAAAACACGGGAGCAAAGCGGACGGGTCACGCTGCCTGTCCTGAAACCTGCCACCTGCCACTCTGCCACTCACCTGGAGAAAGCCGTACTTCAGCTCCATGTCCAAGAAGCTGTATTCCTTGGCATGAGCCGGTCGCTGGGGCAAAGTGTTCGCCGCCGCCTGCGCCTGGGCCGCTGCCGCTCCGCCCGCCGCCGGCGTCACATTGGTGGTCTCGTAGGTCTTCGACTCCTACACAGCAAGAAATAACGTTGTTTTTCAATAAGCAAGAAACAAGCTATGCGTTATAAATCTAAATCACAGTCTTGGAAGGGAAGCATTCCCTTTAAAACGTATAATATTGTCATATTTTGGGACTTAATCAAACGTTTCATAAATTGAAATAAAATTAAGTTTTCAAATACACAAAAAATTGAAATTTTATTTAAACTTAATCACAGAGAATTTGTTGGTGAATGTTAATTAATTAATTTACTCAATAAATCGACTGTTAATCTATTGAAATCTATTCCCACAAAAGGCATAATTTTGTTCAATATCGAGATTTAAACATAACTGAAATAAAAATGTATAACATTACATTTTCAAGCACTTCAGAGCTGAAAAATTAAATAAGTCTATTTTAAGACGGCCAAGTAATCCTTTAAAATTATAAGTAAAATTCAAAAACAAAGATTTTAAACAAAAAATCAAAATTATTAAAAAATCAATAAGACCGCCTAATAACCTGTTGTGATTTTAAAACCTAAAGTCCAGTAAAAACTGGTACTTATACTCTTATCACACGCAACAAACCAGATTGTCGGACAGAAAAAATCAAAATAAACCAACAAATAAAAAGGTTATAAGCGGAAAATCCATCCCAAACTTTTCTGTGTAGAGTGCGGACAGGTAATAAAGAGTTAAAGCCTAATCCCTGACGGAGCTGGTTGGGTGGTTTTAAATTTGTTCTATCCTCGGCAAGTTCCAGCACATGGCTTTAAAATTCCCATTCAAAGCATCGCATTTGATGATAAGCCATTCAAATCTATCGTGTTTCATCTATTTGTTCGACCCTGGGCTTTTTGTTTTTTCCCATGGCTTTTCCTTTTCCAATTTTTCGTTTGTTCTGTGTGTGCATGTGAGTGCTTTGAGTTTTCCCTTTTTGCAATTTTCAATGTAATTTAACTCGAATCGACTTTTCTGGAAACTAAAAACTATTCAGGAGGTTCAGTTCCGTCGGTTATTGTTGAGCTTTTTATGTGGGTATAGGTGTTGTTGCCGTGTGGTCTTAAGCAGAATAAGTACAGTCCGTTTCGCTACTAAAGGCTTCAGAGTTAGTTTCATTTATTTTCATACAAATTATAAAGTCTTAGAAGAGGTTATTTAAATAATACTAAGGGGAAGGCCTCAAAAATGTAAATCTTAGACTAGCTATGAAGCTAACAATAAAAATATTGTACAAAAAAAAAACAATATCTTCGTTAACTTTGAAAGCTGACCAAAAATCTGAGAAAAAGTGTCCTGCAATAACCCAATTTAATACTTTTCTTGTTAAAGTTTTTGTTTATAGCCCCAAAGTTAATTAGAGTTGAGCAACTAATATAATCCAATATCCTGGCTAAAACCACCTTTAAGTTGTGACACGCACTCTGCGTGTGTGTGCGTATCAATTTCCGAGCTGTGCGGACCAACTGAAGCTCTTTATTGACTCAATCTTGGCAGCGTAAACTTTCCCACACCCACACCCACAAACAACCACACACACACACATTCACAATCACACACAGGCACGCAATGTGTAATTCGATTTTGTTGTGTGTGAGAGCCGGCGTTTGTGTTTCTGTCATCCAGCAGTTGGTAGTTCATAGTAGCCCACAGCCACGCCCCCTGGCCCGCCCACTCGCCATTGTTCTCAAAGTCAAACTATGCACTTGGCTGGCCTGCAAAAACTTTAACAAAACACACCAGCAACCAGCAACATCTACTGCAGCAGCAACACCAAAAACAGTGCCACAATCAGCCCAACAGTCTAAACATTGTTTGGCTGAACCTGGAAAATGGTAGATGACGCCAGTAGACGTGAAATTCCACAGAAAAAAAAACTAAAGTCTATAAAAAATATTAGCAGTACACATTTAAAAAACTTAAAATAGACAGAAAATTATCAAACGAAAATTTATTATAAAGATTCAATAAAATAATGTCAATCTGGAATTCTATTATTTTTATTATTATCAAAATATGTGCCAAAAACTTTTTAATTATTAATCTCAAATTTGAAAAAATTTTGTTAAATTTAACTTATGTAAAAGTATGATTTTCAATTATACAGAGATTTATTTGGGTAGGAAATACAATTTTTTTTTAAATAAAATTGTTGTAAATACATTATAACTTGTATTATTTTTTTTAAATCACCCAAGATTTTGGCTTTTTTATTGATAATTTTGATTTCAATTTAGAGTACCAAAAAAGTCGAAATTTGAAAAAAACCATTGTTAAATCGTTAACTAAACATTTATATTTAGAACAAAAACATAACTATAAATTTTTGAAGTCATTAGATCCACCCAATCTCCTACTATTTGTTTCTGTGTATAAGCATTGAACAGCGTCAAAGAGCGTAAAAAAGGCCGCAACCAATAAAGGACTGAAAGGCAACCAGGCGACAACACAAATTGCATGTCCATGTCGCTGTCAGCAACTGAAACTAGCAACTTGCAACTGGCAACTGGCAACTGGCAACCGGCGACGGACAACTAAAACTGTGGCCAAAACTCACGTGAAAGGCCAGCACATTCGAGAGGCTGGCGAAGATGGGCTCGGAGGCGAAGGCCAGCGTATCCGCACTCTCCTCGACCGTGTGATAGATTTGTAGTATCTGCGGGGCGAAAGAAAAGAACGCCGGGAGGGGGGAGGGTCTTAGGGAAAAGTAATTATCGACTGGGACCCCGGAGCACACTCACCCGCGGATGACGGAAACGCTCCAGTGTCTTCACCGAACTCTTCAGCAGCTCCGTTATGGTCTCCTTGCGTCGCGGCTTGTGCAGCTTCTCCGCAATTTTCTTCTCGAATATAAACACCGAACATTCCTGCGAAACGAAGATGCAATTACGTTAGCAAAAGAGTTCAGGGAATCGGGGATTCAACCATCATTCCAAAGAAATAAAGTTTTAATAAAAGCGTATTACAAACTAAGAACGATTTTTACATGTTGTTATTTTTTTATAATTTGGTATTCAGCAATAAGAATTTTATTTACGGAAAACAATGTTTTGATTTAGCTTGTTTTTAAATAATTAATATCATAACTAATCCACAAAAATGACTTACAAAAAAACCTTTTAAGCATTTTTATCGTTGTTTACAATAATATTTTTTAAAAATTGTATCGTTTAATTTTTTTATTAAAATAAAATTTAAAATGACTTTTAGATTCTATTAAAAATGGCATGTTTTCTGATATTTGGTAATATGATGATGGAAATCGTCTTTAAATATACTTTTGAGTGGATATATATAACGTTTTTTAAAATATTTACTCAAATCCGACTTTAAAAAAATATTTTTATTTAAATATCTATCTTTGAATTGTGGGGAAATTAAAAAAATCTTCTTATCTTTATTTTTAAAAGGAAATCAGGAACTTTTTTTAATGAAGCCAATCTAATGCACAAATTTTAGTCTACCTTAAAGACACCTTTTTTGGGGCCTCCCACTCACCTTGTTGTCGCTCTTGCGGTATGCGTCGTGGATGCGCCATACCAACTCTGGGCCGGCACAGGCCACCGGCTTACCGATTTCGAAGTACTGCGTAATGGGATTGCCATCGGCGACACTCTGAGTGGCTGTGGCGGCGGCCACGTTGGTGCTCTTGAATTTGGCAAACATTGTGCCGGCGGGCATACCATCGATTAGCTTTGAAAAGACGTTCGAGAAGCTTCCCTGTCGCTTGGGACCCGGCTGCACCGGTGCAGTGCCTCCGATGCTGGGCGCCGATCCACTTCCGCCCACTGGTTCCCCGAGGGTCGAACCCGATCCAACTGCTCCCGTTGGCTGCGACTGAGATGATGTGGATGATGATGATGCGATGAGTGGTCCACCTGCTGCACTGATGGACAGTCGTCCGCGATTAGTGGCCGCTATTGGAAGGCCGGAGGCTGCTGCACCTGCTCCTGTTGCTCCTGCTCCTGCTGCCCCGCCCCCACCCAATCCCTGGCCATTAAAGTTGGCGTGCCGACTGGGAATCACTGACACGGGCGGATCATAGCCACTGAAGCCATTCGATCCGCTTATGGTGCGTATAACTGGAGATGGAGGTCCTCCTAAAATGCCACCGCCCACGGACACTTTGCGCTGCGGCAAATTAATGTCGAGCACCGTGCTGGCACTGCGCTGTCGTACCGCTGCCACGCCTCCCGCACCTGCCACGCCCACAGCAGCCGCTCCCGCCACTCCGCCGATGCCGATGCCGCCAACGCCGCCGACGCCTCCACCAACGAACTGCTGCTGGCCACTCCTGGCCGGTGAACCCGTTGCCACCACTGCCGTTGCCGCTGCCACCGCTCCCGATCCCGCTCCGCCCACTCCGCCCACTCCTGCTCCTGGTCCGCCCGGCGGCGTTATTCCCACAGCGCTGCCACTGCGACCGCGTTGCACCTCCTCGACACTATCCAAACGTGAGAAAATTCTGGCCGCCGTTGTTGCCGTCTTTGATGTCTAAAAAGGGGCCAGGAGTGCTCTCCTCAGTTGCCTGGAAAAAGGTGAATTTCACTTTAATTGCGGCCACTTCACATCGCTCATACGCCCCGTTGCCCAGGCGACCATTTCTACCCGCGCACTCTGGCACCGGCAATTAATGCGCTTATTGCTCGGCTTGGCCCGGCTTTTGTGCTCAATTTATACACTCATTAACCCCCGGCAAAAAAGGGAGAGTATAAATTTTGCCGGTAAGTCAAGTCAAGGCGGGTTAATTCTATTCACAAGAGCGTTGGATATACTCGCAATTTATTTGCACCAGCGAATTGTGGCTAATGCTTTTTGAATGCAAAATATTTTCACAAACGCCACTAATTAGCAGGGATAATGGTTGCTATATTTTTACGCATCGAGTGCGTTGGTGTTTTGTAAAGAGTTTAGCCAAACACAAAAGAAGACTCGCAATCGATAACAAATCGAATGAAATTAATTTATTCAACCTATTTAAGCTGGTTGAAATTTTTGCCATAATATTATGAGCTCTGCCTTTACGGTATTTATTTTAATGAAATGCCTATTAGACGATGTTATCCTCTATTTAAATTTATGACTCACACAGAACACATTTTATTTTGCTGACAAAAATTTAAAATAACGTTTTTGAAGCAATAAAATTTACATTTTAAAGTTAAAGGGTATTTAAAAAAGACAAGAGTTGTTGGCATTCGTTTGAATTTACTACACCAAAAGTTGACCATAATCGGATTGATTGGTATAAAAAATGAATGGGCAAAATAAACTTGCTGTCTGATGTTCTATGATGTTTATATGAACTACACATTTTAAACTTTGATTTACAATGTCCATAAGATAAGCTGAATTTAAAAGCTGCATTTTTAAGTCAATAGGAAAACAAAGATTTGAGTAAAACCTATTTTTTTGGCTCACTTATCGAATAAAACCGTAGTGATTTTAAATTTGATGTAACATTTATATTTTAAAAAAGAGCAGTAAAGAGTCGGCGTTAGCCCTGAAAGTCGCGGTATTCTTTTGGCTGCTCCACACAAAACTGCTCAATTAAAAAGTTAAATGGGCTTGGCCCCGGCCATTCATTCTGGATGAATACGTAGAAGAGCGTGTGGTTGCTGGCGACAACTTTTTACAAATTCATGAAAATGCGCTTAAGGCACAATCTCTTCATTAATTGCTGGAAATAGCGACAGCCACGCAGAGCATTTTTGCATGACTATTTGGCAATTGCCCAAATGGAAGCCTAATGCAATTTGACTTGGCAAACATGTGTCAAAGTGTCTGGCACATCTCATTTCTCGCATACCGACTGCACTCGCTGTGCTGCCTGAATATTCCGGCTTTTCCGACGACTTTTCCCCCCGGGGCCTGTCTGCTCTTTAGTGTATATTCTTTGCCGTCTGAATTATTCAATGCAAGTAAACATTTTGGCAAGATGCTCGCCAAGAAGCTCAGGGGGGAAGCCAACAAATTGACTCGAGACATCTTACTTTCGAAGGACTTTGAAAGCCAACGGGGCTACATAAATTTCCAGCAAACGTAAAACTATTTAGTGGAAAATGTTCACTCGGCCAGACCTTCTGCAGTGTTGCGTGAAATTTTTACGTTAAATAAATTGTGTTGATGGTAAATAAATAAAGTATGAGAGCCCAGAAGCCGACCGACCGCATTGTGTGCTTAACGGCGGCCATATAGACTATGCGACGGACAACAAAGTATCCACCGACAACAGTTGGACAAACGGACAGGTGGACAAACGTACAAACGGACAGATGGACAGATGGACAAATATACAGATGGACAAACGAAGGACTGGCTACGCCGGACACGGACTGATGACGGCTGACAGAGAAGTCCGGCGGAAGGCGATTGGCGGCCGGTTGAGCGAAGGCAACTTTCTAGGTCAGGTCAGCATTTTGCAATTGAGGGCAAACAAGCTTAAATATTTAAGACGGCTAAGCGTGGCGAATGAATGCGGTTTGCTTTTACGGCATTCTATTTGCAATCTACGACCCATTGGAATTTTCTAGTGGGCTAGCTCCGCTTACGAAAATTTAAGATAGGAAATTATTTCAAAAGCATTTTGCCAGAAGTAAAATTTCATTTTATTTCATTGGAATTTCAATTTTTTTTTAGTTTACAACACGCACTTATAATTAGTTAATATTTATATCGTGTAAATAAAACAGCTTATATTTATTTACAACTAATTATGATGGTTAAAGAAATAAAAAATTCAATTCAAATTTAAAAAAAGCGAATCAAATTTACTTTAAGTATTATTTACGCTTGTTTGCATTACTTAAAAAAAAACTACCTTGCTTAAAGGCAATTACGCTTCGGTATAATTTGACATTTTTTGTAAGGCAAGAAACCCAAAATAGAAATCAGGATTAATTTTACTTTATTAGTTTAATTTATTTGTGGATTTAGATAAATTCAATTACAAAATGTAATTGCCTTGCAAATATAACCGAGAATCGAATTTAAATACATAAAATTATACAAATAAATGGACCACAAATAAAATAGAACGTGTTTGCTTTGCCATTTAATTATGGCTTGTGAAATTTCAGCAAGCATAAAATGAAAAACAAAATCAAGTTAATTAAAACCTTACGCACCAGTAATAAATCAAATCATATGCCTGCTGTATGTAAGCATTATGAATAAAATTAATTTACTGTGCTCCATAAAATATGCAGGATCTGACGGGTATCGTTTTTAAGGCAATATGTTTCCATTGTTATTCGTTCTCCGAGCGAACGCTTTAATCAGCGTTAAGCAGCTATTTAATGGGAGTAATAATGGTGGCGGTATCTAATCCATTGATCAGCCATCAGGTTTCTAATAAATGTCATTTCGTTTTGAATTTTATAAATGCTGGAGGAGTGGTTTGTTGGGGCAGTGAAAATCCGTTAATGCGAACCGCTCGTGGCCCGGACACGTGGACTCTCGCCGGTTTTATTGATTTCGTTCTGGGCACGAACCCCGACTAAAGCAGCCAAAATTAAATGATAAAAGCGGAGCACAAACAGCTCCTGGAACTCCGGGAATTATTTTTGGACCGCCAGAGAAAAAGAGACAATATATGTGTGTGTGTGTGTGTGTATTTAATGTTACGCCCAACGAGCAATGTGAGTTAAATATTTTTAGCCGAAAGTCAGACGAAGATGGGCAACAAGCGGCCAACAAAGTAGGCTGTAAAAACAACAACATGTTGCCAACTCAAGCGCTGATTGAAGACAAACACACAGACACACCAGCACCAACGACAAAACAAGCACAACACGCACAGTGGCCAAAACAAACGATGGCAGACGCACGCACACAGATGTCTCAATTAGAAGAAAAAAACAGATATGATGGTCCTTTAGCCGCACCAACACACACGAATTCACGCACACCAATGCATTGGCGATGGCACAACTGTGTGTCAGTTAAGGCAATGCGGCCCAGCTTTTGTTTGCTCTTGCCTCATTTATTGTTCGCCTGCCGAGCAAGACAAAAGCCATGCACAGCAAGAGAATACGCTCTAGACTCAAGGATATTTTTAAAGCCTTCCGTTGAAAAAATAACGGAGATTGTAAAGAAACTGGATTTTAGGTAGATTTTTAATAAAGTTATTGAGATGTTTTTGTATATGCTTTAAAAACTCTTTTAATTTCTAACTAACGATCATTTCTAAGGCTGATTGTGGTTTAATCCTCTAAAATTCTGTATCTTCATCTTGGATTGTATTTTTGGTTCAATTTTTCGTCATTTTTATGTGGTTACCCCTTTCCAAATTTCTGAAAAATGGCTTTGCCGAAATGTAACCAAAAACCTACACTTCGAAAGCCATTACTTTTCTTACAGACAACCGATTTCAAAGTGACATACTTCCAAATAATTGTGGATTAATTCTCTTAAAATTTTTTTTTTGTAACTTACAAAAAAAATGCCTTTTTACAAAATTGTACAGACATTAAACGTTAATAGAGTAATTTAATATTTGAAACACATAAAAATATAAATAATATTTATATTTCCTATTCAAGATCTCTGAGTGTAACGAAGTTTCGATTCTGGCAGGAAAAAGCAAATGCGTTGGCGTGCAGGAAACCAGAAGCAGTAACTCCCCCGGTGCAAGTCATCTGCATTTGCTCCGTTTCTGGACGGCAGCAGAAGGAATATTCAGAGCATACTTTCCAGCAATTTCCATTAGCATTCCTTGCCGACTAACGACAAAATACAACTGCTGCGGTTGCACCTGCTGCAATGCTAATTACCTCCCACCCACGAAGAAGAAGATCTGTTGGGGTTGGTCAATAATCTCGGACCATTAAAAAGGGTTCATTCCCCGTAGGAAAAACTTGAGGAGAGTTCAATACACGGACGGACAGCACAGAACAGAGCAGAACAGAGCTCTCATCCCTTTAGCTTTCCCCTCGAGCGGAGTGCGCACATTTGCATATTACGTATAGGGCACGTGAACGTGCCCAGGGAGCAGAGCTGTCACCGAGGCATTAAGGCTGCTTAATTAAATCTTTTGCGTAATTTGTTTAGTTATCCTCTACAGGATCCACTTGAAAATTGAATGGAATCGAGTGTGGCAAACAAAAGCGGCTTAGGACCTCGTTTAAGTGCGTTCATAATTGAATTGCGGCCAAATGCTAAACTGCAACGCCAGCAGTCGAGACACAATCGTGGCATAATTACAGTGGCCACCAAGGACTGTAAACAGTTTCTGCACCGGCCAAAACGAAGTTACTGCCACAAGAAAACCTAATTAGGGTAAGGCAGATAGAGGAAAACACCGAAAAGAAGGTATCAAATTCCGAAGAATAAGCAATTAGTTCGGGCATGAGTTGCTCCTCAAATGTTTTTGTTATTCTTATGCGTGCATGAGCACAATATGCTGCCATGTTTGGCTAGGCAGATTAATTGCCAGGCCAATATGCGTCAAAGTCAGGCCTCGGTGCGTTAATATGTTTGTTCGGGCCTGGCTATAAGGGACCCAGCCTCACTTGAGTAATCAGTTTTCAATAAAGCCGCTCAGATCGGGTATTTAACGGCTTAGGCCAGAGCAACAGTCGTGTTAACAAGGACTCAGAGGGAAAGGATATGCTGGGGAAAATTTAATTCGATTGCTTACGCAATATGAATTTTAATGGGAATGCGCAATTGCCAGAAATCACATTTATTCGATTTTAATTTGAAATCGATGTAGCAGGGTTAAATTTCATTTTTAATGAGTGAAGTTTCTGCAAGCATTCGGATATATATTGACCTCCTGTTTAAAGTACTGCGCAGAAATAATAATAATAAAATAATTATTTAAAAGATGTACAATAATTTAGTTTCTATATTAAGTAAATAAAGACCAAATTGCAAACAATATTTGAAAGCCTGAAGATATGCAAAATATAGAAAATTACAGAATTTAGGTTTAAGCCATAATTTAAAATTAAATCAAAAATATATGCAAAAAAACTAATATAAAGCCACAAACTATTCAATAAATTTTGAGCGTATACCTTTGGAGCTGTAAATGTCAGAGCAATTTGCGAGATCTATTTTTTGACTGACATCCCACTGACAAGGCATCCTAATTAATTTTGTGCGCACAGCATAGTCAATTGCAAATATTTGCCAAAATTTTCAGACCAAAATGATGAATTTCAGTTTGCCAGGCGACAATGAATTGCAAATTGCCGTAGTGTCAAATGTGGCAAATACATTTTTGAAATCGAATTGCGTGGGCGTTTGGAGAGCGTGTGTGCCCGAAACTAATCGAGCAGAATTGTGGCACAAAAATGTGTTATTTACTCAACAAAAGAGCATACATAAATACAGGGTGTGACATGGCAAGTTGCCGCAAGGCTTTAACTTAATACACAACAAAAATGATTTTTTACTAAAAAGAAAATTAACCATTTAAAAATGATTATTTATTTGGGCTTTTGTTTGTTAATAAAGCAGAATAACAAGTTTTTGTATTTCAATTTGGTTTTTTTATTTCTTTCAATTTTTCTAAAGAAGAAAACAATGACTTAATACAAAATGTATATATTTTTCCAAAAAAAAAGTTTATTATTTAAAATTTTTTTGAGTAACAAAATTGTTATCTTGGTTGTTATTTGAACTTTATAAAGTTACAAAGGCAAAAATTTGGTAAAGAAACATACGTCTGCAAACAACGTGGCTGTCACAACCATTACTCGCAACACTCAATTATGTGCATAAATGCAGCAAAAAACACAGAGAAAAAAAGAAAACAAACAGCAAACAAAGCCTGCAGCCATGCACACACACAAGAAACAAAACATTCACTCAACGGAGAAAGTTTTTCCCCTCCTCAGTTGACTTAATACTTAATGGCATTTAGGGGGCACGGTGGAAATTATTTTAAATTGCAAAGCCAGAACTCGGAGGACGTCCTTGTAGCTGTCGCTGATGTTGAGTTATTGTCCTTTGTTGGCGGGCAAAAGACATTACAAATTATGTCATTACACGGTTTTCTTTTATTTTTCATAAATTCACTCTCTCCCTTTAATTTAAGTTGCCTGCAGTTATTTAAAATCACTTAAAATTGGCAACATGCTCAAGTTTCCCCTTTGCCCTCTCCACGCAGCTTTCGCTCCTACTTATAACTTTTGATTTGCGTTCCAGGCGAAATTATAAGCCAGAAATTTGCATAAGTTTGAAGTGAAATTTTATGCAGGAAAAAAGAAAAATCAACTACAACCGACCAGTCCTCGAGTGGCTAAAGTTGTTGCAGCAAAATATTGCATTGAGATGGAAAATTGCTGCAGGGGTGTCTGCGATTGGAACAAATTTCCAACAAATTGTTTTCCTTTTAGAAAAATTATTGAGCTGCATAATAATGGCATAGTTTCCGTGATGACCTAAATATATTTGAAGGGCGCTTAAAACAATCAGAAATCAATGAAATGAATAGAACAGGTAAAATTCGCTATTAAAGGTCTGATTTATATTTAAGTATCAAGGACCGAGGAAGTCAAAGAATTATGCTCATTAAAAGTTCCACTCAGTATATTACTCGACAATGCAATTCAATTGTTATTCTTTTCTTTGAATTGTATCAATGGCAATTTCAATTGGCATTTCAATTGAATATCTATTTATATAATCAAAGTTGAGTTCTTGGATTTAATAGAAGCACAATGCTACAAATAACATTATAAATAATATAAGTTATCATTCTTGAATCACAGAACAAAATTACCACACACTAATATTAGTATTCGCAATTTATGGCCAATTAATTGACTGCTGAAATCTGGCACACATAAGGTCAATCAAATAGCCCTTCACACATTATCAAAATTTTCCATCAAACATATGTCAGTGCGAGCATTAAATTCACTCCACATTCCTCAAATAATCACATTTTAATTGGTTGCCAACATTTTTATGGACTCACAGCACTCAACTTGTGTGAGAAGCATAAAAGCCACACATTCCTGCGAATACTTTTTAATTAGTTATATTTATGGCTGTGATTTTAATGCATTTTGACAGCTTAAATCAAAGGACAAAGTCAAAGTGGCATGTGAAAGCTCTTGCAAAGTTGCAACATTTTGAATGTGGTTTGCAGGGTTTTAGAAGTTTCCCCCGAATCCGAGTGTTCACTCACCTGAAATGACCAGGTATGCCGCTCGGATCACAATGCAAAACCAAGACCGCCGAGCTGTGGCAAATAAAAAATACATTTTCGATTTTATGGCCGCCATATAAAGAGGTAGGATTTAAAATACTTTTTCTGAGCGAACATTAACTTGTTTGCTTTGTTTGTTGGATGAATCTGAATTAAAACTTTTTACTAATGTGTTAAAAAAATTCATATAATATATATAGTTACCACTATAGGTTTTATATACTTTAAGTTTCATTTAAGTGGGCTCTATCAAAAAAAATTTGTTTATTTCTTGTCAAAATACAATATATTTATCAAGAGCAAAATTGTAAAATGTTTTGCTTGTTTAAAGGAACTTCTTACAAATATTTTAAGGTATTTTCTTTTAATGTTTAATTTTATAGTATTCAAAAAATTTTAAAGTTTTTTTTTGTATAGCAAAAATTTAAAAATATCCGTTTTATTTGAGTAGAATAAATCATTTTTACAAAAAAGAGACTTTTAAGTTACAAACGATACATTTTAAACAAGAACAAATATTTTTACAGGCATTTAGCTAAAGAATTATTTTAAAACGTCCCTGATTATTTTCGCGCAATGCTTTTTATCAAAAAAATTAAATTTTCTTATTCACTTTAAGCGACAAAAATGTATTTTTTTTCTAATATGATAGATATACAATAATAAGTTACTGTTTCAAATTTAAATTATGTTACCTAAAGGAAAATGAATTAAATTCGATTTACCACTTGCTCGAATAAATTCGAAAAAATGCAAGAAAAAAATGTGTGAAATCAATTCAGCGTTTTTAGCACTTAATAATCGCGAAAAGAAAAATTAACGGCACATTTAACGGTTAACACTTAGGCGATTCAGAAAAGCGAGTAACGTCGAGTACAAAGAAAAACGGCAGCGCCGACGACACTTTCACATTAATTAAACGCGTTTATATGCAGCACACATACATACACAGGCAGGTGTGTACAGCATACGAGTGCTTTACCTGAGACCGTGTGTGTGTGTGTTAGTGCGACTATGCTTGTGCGCTGACCGTTGCGTATCCGCACCGTTGACTCTGAGAATCGCTGTGACCTTAGAGTATTCGCTGCCGCACGTTCGCACGCCGTAAAGTCCCCAAACAGACTGAATCTGCTGCGACTCCGCCGGAAAGTCGAATGCTCCGTGCCGCGAAGCAACAGCTCGAAAAAGTCCCAATCAACATAAGAAAATGGCCCAAACTGTTGCGCAAAACTGGGGAAATGCCCCTCGAATCGGAACTAAAAAGGATGTGGCGCAGTGCGCAGGCGCGGAGTAGGGGTAAATTGGGACTAAAGACAGCTGGGAAGCAACAGTTTGTTGTGGCGAGGCCAAGGGGGAAGTGGGTGAAGGACGGGCTGCCGGTTGACAGAAGTGGGTCTCTCAGTCAATGTCACACTCGTGGAGTTTTTCGGTATGTAAATGTGGGGCTTGGGGGGTGGTTCAGGGTTTTTCAGGGGGGGCTTTCTACTTTCTTGGCAGCTGATTTCAGACTTTCACGCTTGTTGCGCCCTCCAAAAAAGTGGGCAATTAACGGGTGGGAATTTTCGGGGACGAGTAGACTCGTCTACTGCAATTAGTATTCCACACTGACGCCTCTTTTATTTGCACATTAAACAGGTGGTGACCCAAACGCCACCTGGCCAGACAACGTCGCGCACGTGACGCACATGTATCTTGTGTATTTAATTAGTTGGCAATTTTTATGCCACACATGAACTGTCGCGCCCCCAGGCCATCCGATATCCTCCTCTCCCCTCCCCCACATCCTGCGTCCTGTGTCGCCAAAGTTTGCCCCTATTGTTTGCCATTCTCCGTGAGCGGCATTAGTCAGCACTGATTACCGTCTGCCCTTTGATTTCGATGACAAAGCATTGGCTATAAATACGCGATCAATGGGACAGCTGGAAATCGATACCGCTGAATGGCATTCAATTTTCAATCCTTATCCCATTTTTCTATTTTGTTAATAAAAGCTACAACTTATTATTCGTGGTAAAAATAAACATGGTCCTTTTTTAGAATTTGTATTTATTATTAGATTTTGTATTTATTATTAGATTTTGATAACCGTGTTATTTTTAAAGAAAATATAGATTTTGTATTTATTATTAGATATTTATTTGGAAACTGTTATTTTGGCAGAACAGAAATTTATTTATTTCAACCAAAAAAGCCTGTCTTATTTGTGTTATTATATTTATGTGTATGTATTTATATTTTATATATTTTAAAAACGAGTTTACCGTATCCTTTGCATATTTTTCTCGGGGCTTTAATAACTTTCAGCTCCCAGATAAATATAATTATAGTTCAAGGACTCTGAAACCTAATCAGTACTTCAGCAAATACCTCTCGTTTTGTTTGTGTTTAGTTTTTGCGCAGCTCGAAGCTTTTTATAGAGGTCGACCTCAAAGTTATGATTTAATAATGTATCGATAGCTTTCACAACCTTGTTACAGCTTGTCATAATCAAAATTAATAATTGAGCTGGCTATTAATAAAGTACTTGCAGATGCACTAAAACGAATGACAAGGCTAAATGCTAAGGTCATCAAGGAAGGCAGACGAGCTGGGAAACCACTTGCCCTTGCCCTTAAGTCTCTCCATCTGGCCACATCCTTGCTGCACTTTATTTCGCTTCTTTATAAATAACGCCGGCGAGTATGCAGGATAAAATGTTAACTTGGCGGCGGAAAATGTAGGTTGGAAAATGGGGGTGGGGGGGTATGACTGCCATTCAGGCTAGAACACACACGTTTTCCCATTCTCGTCTGTTTGCCTTCCATGTTTTTCCTAGTCTGTTTGCTTTGCTTACACGCACGTACAATCGGCAAGAGAAACATTTGTTTATTCACCGGGCCGATCCAAAGAATCTGCCATATGCACATGCGAATAAATGGATATGTATCCCCGTAAAGCCCAGATTCCGATTGCAAATCGCACTGGCTAATGGCCTGCATCCAGGCACGGTTCACCAGATGGAATCATCATGAAGAAAAATGAATCCTTTACCACCCATTGTCGGAATCATATTTGCGGGGCTCACAGTTCAAGTGCCGGTTTCAGTTTTAATTTTGCGGCTTCTCATGTGCATTGATGTGAATATTTTATGGCTGCACGCAAAAATATTCAAAATAAGTTGAGTACGGAAATCAAAACTGAAAGCTCCTGTCGACAACCACAAGGCAAAACGAATAACAAATCATATCCGGTTGTGTTCCGCCTATAAAAGCAAGTCGAGCCTGAAATATTTTTGAACAATATTTTGTCTGTGTACGCCAGCTCGACCTGTCGTTATGCCGAAACTGTAATTGTAATTCTCGGAGTTGAAAAAATTCATGACACCATGTTATTCCATTTACACAAAAATATACACTTGTTTAAATGTCTCTTTTATTTTAAATCGATGCACAATTTTACACATTTTCGCAGAGTCAGTTATTGATACCACTAGTTTATTCGAGGTAAAACGTTGAACACTTCGGAATGGATATTCAACACATTTTTATTGGAGTGCATTTGCAAAAATTGTTTGTATTTTATGACTGGAGCGCTTACTCCTCCCTTAAATAAAAAAACAACTTAATTTGTATTGAATACTTTAAATTTCTTTTTGCGACATAAAACAAATAAAAAAGCATTCTGTTGTCCTAAAGAGTTGAAAATAGTCATAGGAAATAGGCAACAGGTGATTTATTCCATCATTGTTAAACAATTTCAGCACATCGGCTTAAAAGGTAAGTCTTAGAGAGAAAGCTGATGCAAACCATAATTTAATCAATGTCACCCATTAGCAAACTGCCACTGCTTGAATATGTGCTGCTCAATTTGCTGACCTAGCTTAGTTATGAAGTAAACAATATTATCCAGTTGTGGCCCGAGGTGCATAGCTCTGTGCGCTAAACAATTTCAAAATTTTGGTAAATTTCTCTTATCGTACACTGGCCTAATTGACCGAACGTCGGTCGCACATTTGTGGGGACACACAATTAGGCTGCGGACATGGTTTCAAACGACAACAGGCGACCACAGAAGCCAACTATTACTATGGCCTAATAACAATCAGCAGGCTGGTTGGTTGGTTTCCTTGTTGGCTGTTTGGTTGGTTAACTGGTTGGCTGCCTGGCAACAACAGGCCGGGCTAATACAAACATGAAAGTTAATTAAACCGAAAGTAGACTGACATGAATTTATATGGTCTAATAATATGCCTCTAGCCAACAGGCAACAGCATCCCCTTTCGTTTCGTGGATTTCCGTTCTGCTCGGGCTTTACGCTTCGCTTAATAGCAAACAATAATTAAAAGTGACAAGTAAATTAGTTTCAGACGTCAACTGATTGCGAAACGAATGCGTGGGAAGTTGTTTGCTAATTTTTTATTAGCCGCAACGATCCGCCGGAACCGATATGGCTTAGAGTTTCCGGTTCCTTTTTTTTTTTGGGTGGCGATTCGCACCTACCCGAAGCTTGAGCTTTCGCTCTTGCTTTCGGCGATGTTTTATTCATGCAGCTATTAACTGATTTTATCACGCTACAAATATGCACTACAGGGCGTATGCATAATAAATTCCAGACACCGTTCCAGGCATTGTTTCCCGCTTTTACTGCAACAACAGCTGCTGGCTCACAAGACGAATCTGTGCGCCGTTTGCGGCAATCTTGGCCGCATTTTTATATGCCAGCGCTGTTTTATGACCTTGTTTATCCTTGTCACATGGCCGAAAGTCTTTAAAAACCAACCACAACTTTGATGAACTCGTAAAAAAGAATAACGAATAAGTGCAAATAAATTAATGTCGAGAGTCGAACAGTAGTTACCCAGTAATTGCCGCGATGAATCTCAAGGGCATTTACAAAAAAAGGAACAAGAAATTTAAAGCTACATGTTGTCAATAGCATACTGCATAAGATACAGATTATCACAAAGAACTCGACTTTGGCTTTTATTTTTTTGGGTTATAAAATAAAATAATGTTATTGAATAAATTATTATCACACTTTACAGCGTTTTTGGTTTAAATCCGATCCAAATAACATATATTAAAGTGTCTGTAAAATTGTCTGTCTTACATTCTGTCGTTTTAAAATTTGTTTGTGCTTTTTTATAATTTTTGTTGGCAGCTTTCTAAAATTAATTTTTGATTTTTAAATATTATCTAATGTCATAGAATTTTAAGTTTAGTTATTTTTTTATTCGAGGCAATGGCCGTGACTTATTTATAAATAACATTCCAATAAATATCCATTATTTAACCGCCTGGCATTTAAAAGCTCGAAGAAAATCAGTAAAATCTTTAATCTTTTTACTCAAAAAAAAAACAGCAACGGAAGCTGGTTTGTGCCCCAGATCACAACAATTCTGTTTCTGATGCCTCTTCATGAATGAGTGAATAAATTCCAAAATGGTTGTCAAAAAAGCGTCACTGAGAAATTAATGATGACTTTTATACGCGAGTAATTCATGGCATTTTCATAATAAACCCACATACACACACACACATGGGATACCTTTAATTTGATTTCTAAGAAAAGAAAAAAAATGTGGAAAAAATGTATATTTATGTACGCATGAAGGAAATATGCTCCAATGGGACAGACACGAAAAACAGAGAAAGGAAAAACAGGGAAAGTGCCCAAAATATGTATGTGTGGGATCCCTGTGACTTGGCGACTTTTTAAAAAGCTTTTTTATGCTCGTTTGCATACACTCTGATTTTGATAGCATTCAAAGTCAGTTTAATAACAGTCGTCATGCGATTTATAACGCATAATAAGACAATCAGACGGGCCAAATGCGTCCACGTGCAAAGAAAAAGCCCACAAATAAATACTATACATATAAATTTGTGGTTTCAGGTTTTTCTAAGGCGATAAAGCAAATTGACAATTTCCCCGCCCGACGACCGCTCTCAGATTTCCCGGCCAGCCTGTCAGCTTCTTCCGGCGGTCAGCAAAGTTGTCAAAGTATTTGCGGCACCAAAGTTTTTCTTTCCTCCTCATTTTAAAACTAAAAACCAAACTAAACACAGCCCTCGACTTCAGCAGGATTCAAGGATTCCATTGGGAGGCGCATCGGTGATA